AAACTATAGCGAATAGAAATCAGTAAATTAGTTAACGTTCACTGAGGACAATGGCGGGTATGCCGTCAGAACCAAGGCTTTGAGAAGGCTTAAGAGACCGGACACATTTAAGCACATCAAGGGTATTAAAACCACTAAAGTTATTGTCAATATGATTTGTATCAATTGGAAGGGTATCAACAGAAAAGCGTATAAAAGATTTGTTAAGAGTGTCAACATTAAGAGATGGAACAGAAATACATCGCTTACCGTGAGTAATTTCTTTGAAAAGTTTCCATAAATTAGAAGGGGTTTTACATGACAAAAATCTTCGATTATATAAAACATTTAGTCCTTTCATTTCCAGTTTTATCAGCAAGTTTAACTTTTTTACACCAGGCTTATCATTAGTTTTGAACAACAGTTCTTTATTTCTACGTAGCTTTTTGAGATATGGGGAAGATAAGCGATCAAATCGAATGAATAATGTTTCTTTAGGACAACACATTGCGAAACAGAATTTAAGATAATCGGTAGTGTTTGTGATTGTTTCATCTAATGTTTGTTCTGTAAATAAGTCCCAGTTAGTGTCTTTCAACATGCATCTGAGCTTGTCTAGGTTGTCTTTTGAGTAGCATCTTCGTTGAACTATACTTTAGAGGTGAGAAAGGACACCTTTGTGTGATTTGGAATATATTTTAGGCAGTACACGTATGATGCAGTGGTCAGAATTAAGTAGAGGAGCACGTTTGCGAGCTTCATATATGCCAGCATCACTAATGAATACTAGATCCAGTTTTTTACCAAGACGGGTAGCAAAGTTAACAATATTGTCATGACCAAGTGATATAAGGAAGGAGCAATCGCTTCCATTGAAGTCGCCAGTTACTATTGATAAAGAGTTCTCGAAGCAAGCTGCAGCAAAAACCGTGAATTCATCAGCGAACATGGATAAATCCAATATGGTACAGCCAGGAGAGACATAAACATTAGAAATATAAATGAATTTGTATTTTGACAGGTGTTTCGGGCGACATCTCACAGTGATGCAATCAATGAAGTCATTCGAGAATTTGAAACAAACTTTGTTAGAAATGGACCATTTTGAGTGAATAAAAGTTGCAACACCTCCACCACATTTTTTCTTGGAACAAACACGGTCTTGTCAGAAAACATTGAAATTGTTTAGAGACACAATATTGTCATCGTATGAGTCATGGAGCCAGGTTTCTTGTAGAGTGACAATACCAGTATTGTGGTAGGTTCCGGATGACAACAGGGACTGAAAATCCAGAATTTTATTAGGCAGGGACCGGCAGTTGGTACTAATGATAACTGGAACAGTGGTGTGATGTATGGGTGTAGATTTTAAGGCACGCTGCCAACCTCCATGGTGCTTTTTCTTGAGTTTATTGTTAATATGGAAGTTATTGGGTTTAAAACGTTTTATAAAATCCCGGGAGTGGATAATACGATTAGAATGCATAATGTGATATGTAAATACCAATAAAATACGAGTAAATAGATGTAAAAAGTACATGGAATGTGGTAGCCCAAAAATATTCAAATATTCAAACTCTGCGTATGCATGATATAGGTATGTGTATTTCAATGGAGTATGTTGAAATATTGCTATTAAGAGGAAAAATATTTGATGAACTGACAGTGTAGTGGTAATTCCCCAGAATTATTCGCCACAGCATTCATCACTCAACATTGGATGCTCCCCCTCACTGTTTAAGTCAACTCGTTTAGCTGAAAGCTCTCGGTCAGGTGGTCACGCCATTCTGCACGCCAATGTGTTACGTTCGTTCGTTCGTGCACGATCCCTAGCTAGTTAAGCAACCATCCTCGTACTCTGATTTGGTGCTGAAATATAGTTCAAAATTTGGCCAATCAATTCTGGTGTTTTGCCTTGCCTTTGGTCAACGCGGAACGAATATTATGGGATTTGTGGGTATTAGATTTTGCGTTGGTGTACTTCGTAATATTCCCAGCCTTTAAAGGTCCGATGAGAATGGGTTATACCGTCTTGTTGTGGATATCTGGCCACCACACTACTCGCATTGCTTAGCGCCATGGATGAAAACCAAGTTAGATTTTCTCACATGGAAAGTATGGTCAGAGTGTTGCGTTAACGAAATTCACAATACCATTCATGTTTTAGAGAATTTGATTAATTTGTTTATATGCGTTGTTCCAGATAGATGAACAATGTCTTGCATAATGGATTTTTTAACGAATAAATATACTGTAATAACCCATGCTTTCGATTCGGATCCCATGATCCACATCTAGTTAAGACAATCATCTTTCCGGCTAACAGTCTTCCAGTGTGACGATAACTCAACGACAGCGTGGAATCTCTGGAATTAAATAGCCAGCCAAGAGCAAACTAGTGCTAGGTATTACTAAAGATGGCTGATGCTCTCGCGCCATTAATGAATTCCATGTTTGTACTTGTTATGAGGTGATCCTCAAATAGAATGGTAAATCGCCAGCACATCCAGCCACAAGAACCAAAACTCTGGAGTGTCCACCGGCAGGTCTCTCAGTATGGAAATTGAGCGATCTTATGAAACATCTTCCCTGATGAAATAGAGCAAGGCAGCCACAAATCATGTAGGCATCTGAGGTTTCTGCTATCTGAATGCCTAGCAGCTGTAATCATTTGATAACACACCCCCGTTCAAGTTGATTAGTATCTGCTAGTTAGTGCAGTCAGTGCCTTGGTTTTCTGAACTGGTGGCGGTTTGGTTTGCTGAGAATACTTCGACCCATTTGTTTATCGCAGGTAAATCTTCGACACATTTCAGGTGACTGGATGTGTGCACCACTAGCTTCTGAGTAACGACTGTCGCTTGCAATCATTTGAAACGCACCACTTCGAGGCCGTTATACGCCTTCAATACACACACGAGACATAGGACCACACCCATTAAAAGAATGACAAAGGAAAATAACTTTTTGCAAAGCGAATAAGCACATCATCCCTAAGGTTATTAATAGAAATCTAGCCCTAATTATTCTAACACTAAACGCAACACCAATTCACGTTTGAAATAAGATAGTTTTAGGCTGCTAATCTTAACCTCTTTCAAACAATTTCAGGAACAACAGTTCCAGGATCCATGAAATATTCTCAATGTCAATGTAGTTGAAGATTGAACGATCAATTCATGGTTGTTTGCTCAAAACCAACTTCCCCAATTTTCGCGGAGGCATCAATACACCAGTCATCGTCTCATCGGTCGCTGTTCAGAAAGAAGTCAGCAATAAACCGTCAGAAGTAATATTGTGATTTATTATTGTAATATTTGTTCACAGACCTTAGTAGAAATATTTTTTATATGTTGGTGTAACAATAAAGAATCCTCGAGTCAACAATTGGTGTTTTGGTTTTTTCGTCCGTTATTACTAAGCGTTTCTGAGAAACTTCAAGGAACAGCGTGAGCCCGAGCGTAGCAAGAGCTGGGAATTAACGGTTTACGAGACGTGGCTGACACTCGCAAACACTAGGATGCTTTCCTCACCCGAAATGCGGGAGAAATATTCACTGATGGAACCTCATTAAGTTAATTATTGAAAGGATCGCTCTATATTCTTCGTTGTTGCCCACTAGTTCCACAAAATTTACGAAGCAATGAATAGGTATTTTGAATATATGTGTAAAACTTTAGCACTGTGGTAGTAAGTGATTCCGTATTAGTTTGTTTATTAGATGTATCACACAATGAAACAGTATTATATACTGGATGACGCTTGTTGTTCATAATCATATCAATTATAATCACGCGACTTCGAAACTTGAGTTCTATAGTCTTCTTTCTCCTCTCTTATTTGTTGTCATTGGGGTTGTAGAATTTTCCAGATATCTGGGACAGGTGTTGAATCATTCCTATTACATGTATTTGCAGTTGATTCGGTAAACAAAGCTTCTGTTATCAATCTCTCCACCCACCCTGTGACATTAGATTTTAAAACTGTCATCCTATCCCATCGTATTGTGTGGCTGTGTGTAACTGCGTGTAGTGCTATAGCTGAACTATTCTCTAGATTTCTTATCTTATTCGGGTCAATCCATCTAGATTTTGCTAGGTTTTCATGTTTGGTTAGTCTGACTGTCCCTCTTCTACCAGTTCAGCCTCTGTATTTGAACTGACAGTTGGGAATAAAAGTGGCATTCAAACCTACAAACTCAATTAGAAACAAGCATTGTAATCATCAATTTGACCTTCGTCTTCTACATTGTTCAGCCTAATTGCGGTGATCAGCGTTGACTGGTGTTCCTGATTGAGGGTTTTCTCTAATTTTACTTTTTGTACATCTATTATTTGTTGATATTTGTTGATCCGATAATGATTACAGACGCACATTATCGGTTCATCAAATACCAGAAACAAGCTTTGTCGGTTAAAGGATCCCGTGGAGGCTTTAAAAACAAAACAATTTAGTTCGACTAATACCCTGCTAGAATGATTGTCGGGCCAAATACATAAACCAAACTGGTAGAAGAGGGACAGTCAGACTAACCAAACATGAAAACCTAGCAAAATCTAGATGGATTGACCCGAATAAGATAAGAAATCTAGAGAATAGTTCAGCTATAGCACTACACGCAGTTACACACAGCCACACAATACGATGGGATAGGATGACAGTTTTAAAATCTAATGTCACAGGGTGGGTGGAGAGATTGATAACAGAAGCTTTGTTTACCGAATCAACTGCAAATACATGTAATAGGAATGATTCAACACCTGTCCCAGATATCTGGAAAATTCTACAACCCCAATGACAACAAATAAGAGAGGAGAAAGAAGACTATAGAACTCAAGTTTCGAAGTCGCGTGATTATAATTGATATGATTATGAACAACAAGCGTCATCCAGTATATAATACTGTTTCATTGTGTGATACATCTAATAAACAAACTAATATGGAATTTTGAATGAAAGCTATCAGTGAAACGCCCGGTGTGATGCTGAGTCTGAGATAGCAATTTCAAATACTTTGGAAAGCTTTTCCGGGTGTTTCAAACTCATTAAAATGGTTGACTTCGCGAAGGAGGAAGAGTTTGGCGTTGTCGAGTTGATTTTGTTTGAAACCTCTTATAGGTAACGACCGATGGGCCGGCGGGGTTTTTGGATTTGAGGGAGCTAGTCCGTTGTATGATATCCTCCTTCTTTTTGAGGACAGGATGTCTGAAGTTTTGCTGAATGATTCAACTGTGAAACAAGAGTATTTCGAAGATGAAGAAAACTTGCTGAAAACGGATGTATTTGACTCAGTACCTGAGACATTGTCAGGTGAACTAGCTGAGATTGGATTTGACAATGGATGTCCGGGTGTTGTTGGTCGTGATCCTTATGGCGATCTATTTTTAATGGATCCTAATGATTTGTTAGGAGTCAGGGAGGAAGTGATTGGAAATGACGCAAGTAACAGCCCGGAAAGTGTGCCAGTATGTGATCCCACAGTAGTAACTGCAGATGAATCAAATGACACTGCGAATGAACGCGTTAATCAACGGCGAAAGAAAACGAAGAATCGCCATGCCTCTTTATCCAAACTAGATATTGACAATCGCGATCCTTCGGACTTAGATGACAGCAGTCAAGGTACTGGATGCTCACGGACAAAACTATCACATACCTACTCACCAATCAAACTTGATTCTGACACAGTTTTGAGTAAGCCATCAAAATATTTTTGCATGATCTGTAGACAATGTGCCTTGTGTTGTATATAGCAATTCGTCTAGTGGGAAAGGATTTGTGATGAATCGCAGGTACTCAACATCAATGGGTCACAAGCAAATTCATGTTTGGCATGGACAACCCCGTTATAGGCGTCATTTAACCCTCGGCAATGGTTCTAATATTTCAACACGATATCTTCCTCAAAGTAAGTCGCACGTTTTGTACATAAGCTGAAATTTGTAGCTCTTTAGTGGATTTAGTACGACGTTTGACGCTTGTTTGGCTTGTAATGTTAGTCCTAGGGCTTTCTTTTGCTTCAGTTATCGCTGTCTTTTACACATTGTTTTACCAATCAAAACATAATATATATTTATCCCGTTCGTTATGTAAGTTTCATTGGTCTTAACTTAAACAGAAGCAAGTTTTCTGTCACAGTCAACACCATTGCCGCAAATAGTTGTAGCGATCATCATTGTGTGTAGGTAATGACCTTAAGGAAACTAGACGTTTTTCTTGCTGGTGAAGCCATACATGATGCGTTTACATGTGTTTTGAGTATTCGAATTATTTCGTAAGCAAATGCAATGTGAGCTTCAAAAAACAAGCTTAGTACTTAACGCTTTTCAAGAACTCGACAGCCAGAGAGAAAAAATGTGTATATATCACGCAGGCTTATTTCGTATGATTTTAACGGTCAATTGGAATTCGGTCTTCTCTCGTGTGTATTCTAGTGTTCACGAATTTAAAAACTTAAGGTATGACAGAAGCCTTAAGACCTCAAAAAGTTCATAGCTAGTGGCTAATATTTGATTCGGTGGCATGTGTCACGCAAATAGCTATTACCTAATGCGTGGACAGTAATTCACGAAGGTTATCCAGTTTCTTTCAATCGTGATAGCTTTGTTAAACACCCAGTCGTATTTCCAGGTAGCTGATCAGCATTGTTGAAAATATTTGACTCATGTTGGCTGCTTATGTACATTAGAATTTCGGCACTTCATTTCGTCATATATGAGTAGATTATCGTAATGACTCTGGAGATGTTGACCTATGACCATCAGTGTGTAAGTCATTCTGCCGTGACCTTTTGCAAGCATTAAGTCGATCTGTATGTGGCAAACAAATAAGTAGTAGTAGGGCATTAGTCTTCGCCAAAACCATGCTTCTCAAAAAGACATGGTTATTGGCCTAATGTTTTTTAAGTCATCCTAAACCAACATTTTTGTAATCGAATAAACATTGTGCACTGTGATACAGTATAATTCCATTATGGGTAAAATTTGTTTTGATAAAATCTCACAGTGTTATACAGTAATGTTTACTGATGATGTTCCGAGCACACTTTATTACTGCTCATCATCATATCAAGATACGCAAATTCCTGACTTCGTCTATGTAATTCCATAATTTTTTCATCGCTTGATTTGATGGGTAGTAGTATTTTCCATATTTCGGGTATGAGTGATGAGTCATTCCTATTGCATTTTTTGGGTGTAGACTCGATGAACAAGGATTCAGTAATCAACCAATCTCTCCACCTACCTATATTACTTTTTAGAATTTTAACCCTCTCCCACCCTATTGTGTGGTTGTTTCTTAAAGCATGCAGTGCATTTGTTGAGCTTTTTTCTAAATTGTTTATCTTCTCTGGGTCAACCATTCTTCCCTTAGCTAAATTCTTATGTTCTAATAATATACCTCCAACCTACTAGTTTGACTTATGTAGTTGACCTCACAGTCATAGCAGGGTATTTTGTAAATTATATTATTTTGTGTAATTGGGTCCCTGAGGTAGGTTTGAAGACCCAGTTGACGAAACGTCATCAGTAAACACTACTGTATAAGACTGTGAGACTCAAAATAAAGTTACCCATGATGGAACAACTTTTTTTTCAACACGCTAAACAGTTCGAAAGGGTTTAAGATTTCTGATCACCTTCACTTTTTTGTAACTTTGTAAACAGTTTAGAGTTGTGCATGTGTTGCGCATGTATTTCTTCACAAGCAATTTTTAATGAAGTCAGTTTCTATTGGGTGAAACCTCACTGGCCAAGAAATGGCAGAAAAATGTCAGAAATCACAAAGAACGTTTAATATCAGAAGCCCTTTATATCGAAAGAAATCTGAATTGTCTAAATAGGAATGATGGACTAAAACAGAATTCGACTTGGTTACAACACCCTACCCTATGAAATGATAAAATCAATACGAATGTGATAAGCGATTTCATTATGTAAACGTACGCTGATTTTATAATTTTACACTTACCAAATCCAGCAATCTACACCTGGTTTTGTTATCTTTACTGATTAGCCAACTTGACAGCGAAAAATGACCCCATGCTGAGGAAAGATGATTATTAAAATAAAAGAAATTTATTTTTGAATATTGGTCTCACTTGTGTACAGAAGTGTAGGTCACTGTTAGGCAACTAAAATTGGTTAGATACGCTGTGTGGCTAACTCGAAATCAGTGACGGATATCTCCATGCTATCTTTATATCTTTATCATTTAAATATTTGCTTCGCTTACATTTGTCTTACTGTGCGGTTGTCTTCTGTAAAACTGTTTCCCCTTTATCCTTCAATTGTTGTAGGACAATGTTAGCAATGCAGTCATGTGTAGATACTCTCCATTCGTCTTAAACCAGGTTTATTTTCAATTTTTCATCATGTTGTGGCATATGTATGCATATATATAGTCATTATTTCTAAGTTATGTATAAGGCCATCTGTGCTTTGCTATGCTTGCAAAGTAAATTAGCATTCGAGCATCAATTATATGAAGCTGGTTCACTTACTCTCAGCCTTCAAAATTTTCCTCGATTCCCACTAATTTTCATTTCTTGTTCTGACTGTTGTTTCCTCTACTTTACCGTCACATGACATAATGACTCATAACGGAAAAGTTTTGTGTGCCGTGTGTGAGCTCTTGGTCTACTGATCTACCAACTCATTTACTTATCCAGTCATTACTTTAAATAAAAGCACTGTTCCCTGTTTAATCAATGTGTTGAAGAATGTTTTATTGCCAATCAATTCCCCTTTCACTTATGTACATTTCATCAGCTTATCGTTTGGATAGTTCCCAATCAACTCAGGGGCATTCGCGAATAACTTTCAGACGTTTTCCACAATCTGTTGTCCAACCTTCTAATGTGGATGATTCTGAAACATTGTTTGTTGCAGGTCCTCGAATTAATATTGCTAGCGCTAAGCATGATACATTTCCACCTAGTGGATCAGTTTTTACCGTCCTCAGCTCAAATGCGAAACATCAAACAGTCACCTGCCAAACAAACCAACTACCGACCATTGCTCCTGCCCCGGGAAGTTTAGAATCTGCAGGATCTAACGAAATCAATCCTGGTATTTACACTTCTAATTCTGGCAACATGCTCCGTACCGTTCCCTGTCCGCATAAGGGTTGTGGCAAGCTTTTCCGTGATAACTCCGCAATGCGCAAACACTTACACACGCATGGTCCACGAGTACATGTTTGCGCTGAATGTGGAAAAGCATTTGTAGAATCTAGCAAACTGAAAAGGCACCAATTGGTTCATACGGGTGAAAAGCCCTTTCAATGCAATTTTGAGGTGAGTTCATTATTATTATGCACGAATGATTTTTTCTCTTTAACTATGACACGGGCATATGTGCAGTGAACGTGTCCGTCGTACTCTATTATGTCCATGTATGGACTAGGTTTATTATTGAAACTCCATCAACATTACAAAGTTTTGGTATTAAATACATGCCAAAACTATGGAATACGTGTATTCACATTGATTGTGGGGTTTTCACTTATGTTCTCAGCATGTTCCTTCACATAGGCTACTTTCACCAGTTAGTCTTTGTTTAGTCATTTTCTATCATGTAAGGATTTCTAGCATACTTAATAGAATTCGAAAAGTTTTTGATGGGAGTATATTTTAGTGAAAACAAAACACGTAGTTTCGTGAATAGACGCCTTTCGGCGAATTCATTTTCTTTAGCTGTACAATCGCATTTAAAAATAATTTTTCGTTCAAGATAGCAATGAAAGTAATGAGTTCTCACAATTCGCTAAAAAAAGCCCCTTCACCGAAGTGCGTTTTTTTGTTTTCATTTACCCCTGAATGGGGATTTTTCATGAAATCAGTTTATTCTTATTTTTTCTTACCGATATTTTAAGGGTTGCGGTAAGCGCTTTTCCTTGGACTTTAATCTGCGAACACACGTACGTATTCATACCGGTGATCGCCCTTATATATGTCCATTTGAAAATTGTCATAAACGGTTCGCTCAATCGACGAATTTAAAATCTCATATCATGACTCATGCCAAAGTTAGATATCGGTAAGTTGGGTCGAATAACTTTCAGTAATACGCGTTAGTTATCTGTTAGATTTATTTTGGAAATTGTCCGATGTTTGGGTTAAAAAAGTTTTAAGTGGTCAATCTGGTTTTATTATCTATTTTTAGCTAAACGACCATTCAGTGTCATATTACCAGCTAAATATAATAAACTTTCATGAACATGGTTTAAGATATCTGAGTACTTGTAATATCTGTATCCTCATCCCTGGAATAGGTAAACATGTAAAGTGTGCATGGAAAGGTCCGTATTTGTTTGGCTGATAAATACGTGTAAATTGACGTGCAGTGTGGTCAGCTGGATCTAGAATGGAAGTCCATCCTATTAGTGCAGACTAGGAAAAAATTCAGAGTTGTGTACCTCATTCGATAACTTACAGTTTACGTGATAATACTTAAGCTGTTCAAGCACTGTATACTTTGTTTGCAGCATATTAACGGGATAGACTTCATAATGAATATAATTTTAAGTTTGATGTCACTTTACGTTTAAGCAAAATTAAATGCATCACAATATTGTGCTAAATGGTATTAATTCCGGTAGAAATCTGAGATGTTTTTCATGTTTTATCGAGTTTTGGTGCTCTGTGATAGGAATTACCAACTTTATATACCACACTGTGGCTATCATCACGATCATACCTGGGCCAAATTAAAAGGAACTTATTTCGTGAGTGATGTCCAGTACTGCCTTTTAGGAATTTGTGAACTCCTAAAGTGTTGACAGTCAGTATTTAGATTCACCTCAGTATAATCAATTTAGATCTTTAAAACATTTTATGAGTTTGTGTTTATTTGTTCTGTTGTCTAGTGGCCCACGTAACTCTACAACTTCACAAACTCCTGGATACTTCTCCGAACTTGAAGAAATACCGATTTCTCAGCAGTCGTCAGGTCTAGAAAATACTAGTGAGTCTAATAAAACTTATCATGCTTCCGAAATTGATAGCAGTCACAATATGCAAATTAAAAAACACATCTGCATACATGGTAGCGTCATCAAACTCAACCAACTTAAAACCAACTTACATAAAGCCTTCCCGTGTTTACACTCGTCCAACACCTATGTCACAATATGCTGTTCCTGAATCACCGCCTCCACTTGCACTTGATGAAACCACTCTATCCGCCGGTTCTAAATGCGAAAACCGAAGTGATCCTTTTATTATAATACCAAAATATATTCAGGGTCAGCGGAAACGTCAGAAGACCCTCACTAATCCTAGTGAAGATGGTAACGACGAAGTAAATGAGGACGACGATGAAGGGGTGGTAGAAGAAGATTGTTTCATAAAACAGGATTTTGATCGTGGCTTTATTTTATCAGAATCAACTATGGGTCCTGAGTTTTTCGTTGATTCCGGTCAAGATGATCGTGAGATGATTTGGCAGACTAACGACTATTCATCTTTAGATCGTTTACATTTGTCTAATTCATTTACAAACTTGAGTCACCAGCCGATTATTATGTGCACTCGAGATCAGCGTCGTAGGGTAATTCATCAAAGTACTGCTCTACCGGATTATATATTATGTCGTCAACAAACAATTCCTATCTTAAGATTACCTACTCCTACGCGTACTGTTGTTTCTATTGGACGACCGCAGCAACCATCCTGATCTTTGTCTTTTACTCTTGAACTTTTTTTCAGTCGGTTTTATTGAGTGCTTTCTTTTGATTATCTCATTCTTTTCTGTTTTACCTAATATAGTAATTTTAAAGTATTTTACCTGACGGAATCTATTTGTATGCAATGGACCCTTGAAATTTCTTTAATTTTTAATTATTTCACCAATTGTTTCATGTCGCTTTTATGTTCTGTAAATTAATGGTTTTCTTATTCACAAAAAAATAAGATTATTTGAGTCCTCATCTCTTATTTCCTTTATCTCTAATTTGTGCCTTCGGCATAACTTTGTATAGATAAAGATTGTTGCACACGATCTCAACGCACAGTTGTCTAAATATATGGCACTAATAATATACTGTCTTATTGTTAACTAAGCCTTCCTTTTTTACCACACATACTGGTGAATTCATACACCTGTTTTAAACCTGATCCCTATATGTTACACAGCGAGTTAAATCGTGTGGAGCTGTCGTACATAATATAGTTAGTTCAAAGTATTTAACCTGATTAGATCTATTTGTATGCAGTGGACTGTTGGAAATAATTATTTGTTCATACCTTCTTGCCTTCTATAAAACTGTACAACAAGTACGTGTGTGGTTAGAATGTCAGAAATGTGTTGCGCAAATGCATTACACGTTTCAGATAAACTGCGTCTTGTTGTGCTGTCGAAATATTTATTTTTTAAATATTTTAACTATTGTTTTATGCCGCTTTTATGTACTGTAAATTAATGGTTTTCTTATTCACAGTATCCTGAATGCATGGCAGTAATGTGCTGTTGACTAAGCTTTCTTCTTTTTTACCACGCCTACTGGTGAATTCATACACCTATTTGAAACCTGATCCCTTTATGTACCACAGCGAGTTAAATTGTGTGGTGCTTCAAGGAAATTACGTTTGTTTTTTCCCATAATATACGTGAAGTTGTTTTTGTGTACAGACTTTTGAATAATCTGTGATTTTTAGGATCCTAGTTTATTGATATGAGCTTTTGTTCCCATCAGACATTATTTTCACTTTGCAGTAATATACAATACATGTTATGTAGACTACTTCATTCCTGAATTGTTATTAAAACTAAACATTTTGGATTTTCTTACAATTTTCTTGCATTCAATGAGTTATCATTTTACTGTTTCCTGTGTATCATGGGTCCTCTAAATGTGTTTCAATGCTTCAAAAAAATTTATTTTCAACTCACTGTATTTTTTATTCAATGTTTTGCACTGTTAATTTAACATGACCATGTACAGTCAAAACATAGTTAATATTGTTGTTAACTTTTATACCTGTCTCCCGTGATAACAAATGAGTGTTGCAGTTACAGTTGTTTATTATGTTACTTCAATGTATACCATTGTAATGTACTGGATAATTGTAAACGATAGTTTAAAAAAGTAACGCTGTGTGTATGCTTTTACTCTAAGGGTGATACGACAAGTTCAGTAAGACAGTTGAAAGAGTGAGTTAGGTGGGAGAGACTATCATACTTTGTACTTGGTACCACACTGTTATAATAAATAATATAGACCTACATGTGTAGGATGAGTCTGGTATGTATGTGTGACATTTTCAAGGAAACTTATGGAATTTGCAGTACATGATTACATAACTTGAAATAGTAAGGCATGGGTATTGCGTTTTTTTTATTCCTTTACTTTTCGAGTGGAACATAAAGCTTCAAGCTAAAGCAGCGGTTTTATTTTTACAGGATGGGTTTGCTAGCCTCACACCTAACCTTCCCTCTCTACTGACCTTACTCCCGGTTTTGGGAGTTCCAGGAGTGCATCGGTCGGGAGTCAAACCCGGGACCACCTGAGTGTTCCTACCGCTTAACAACTGATGCGTTACATCTACTAGATCTTTACTCCGAGATTACTGTGCGGATGTTTATTTTGCTATAGCTTATTCGGATTGTTGAGTAAAACGTAATGCAAGGAATAATCATATGAACATATGTTAAGTGTCTTAACACAGAACAAAATGTCGTGAAATAGAGGAATTTAATATTCCAGTTGAATTGAGGATGATCTCAAAATAAGTTTGCGACACTGATCAATTCCGAACCACGTAACTTAAATTCTTCAGCTAAGCTAATTATGCAAAGATTTCCAATTCTTGCGGTCAGTGTGTTACATAGCTCTCCGTATAATGAACTAACATTCATGGAGTCAAATGCCTTTAGCTAAATAGCTGCATCGGGTGTTTCGAAAATGTATCTGATGCAGACATTGCCAAGTCGGGGAACTTAGTGATATAAGAATAAAACTTGCAGCCGGGAAGTAACAATCGCCCTCACAATCCGAAATGCACACAAAACCTCTCTAATCCTCACTTATCTTTGTCTTCATCTCTATTACCTTGCCTTCCCCCCAGTGATGCAACTCCTCTACTTGATGGCTCCTCACTCCCTCTTCACTCTGTGTCCACTAAAAACGACGAAAGCCAAAAAACCACCACGGATAGTCTCCTAAAGCCACGCCACCAATTTCATATAGGAGCATTTAATGTTAGGACACTTTGCCAAATAGGACAACAAGCATCACTAGCTAAGACCCTGGCATCTCGAGCCATTGATGTATGTTGTGTTTCAGAAACACGCATACAAGACCCAAGTGTGGTTATTCACCTAACCCCACCTGGCCAACAGGATGAATCTTCAAAATTCACCTTGAGGGTGTCAGGAGATGCCACAGCTAGTTCACGGGGATTAGCTGGCGTAGGGATAGCTCTGAGTACTAGGGCAGAAAAGACATTGCTTGACTGGATCCCAGTAGATAGCCGAATGTGTGCTGTCCGTCTGAACGGATCAGTAAGAAGGAGAAAGGACTGCACTACTCGCCGATGCCTTTTCGTAATCTCCGCCTACGCCCCCACTGACTGCAGTTCGGATGAAACGAAGGATGAGTTCTACCAAAAGCTGTCTAGTTTGGTGAGAAAGGCTAAACGCTCAGATATAGTCGTTCTAGCTGGTGACTTCAACGCTCAAGTAGGGAAATTGTGTCAATCTGAGAAGGATGTCGGTGGCACCTATGGAGTTCCGTGCCAGCGAACCGACAACGGTGACCGTCTCCTACAGTTCTGTTCAGATAATCATTTGTTTCTTGTAAGCACTAACTTTAAACACAAGGAGAGACACTGTTTAACCTGGCGACCCCCATCATCAAACCAACGCTGGACACAAATAGACCACATAGCAATAAGCTATCGTTGGCGTGGGTCGGTAGGAGATTGTCGCTCCTTCTGGAACACGTGTGTAGATACCGATCACGCACTGGTCCGGGCTCGTGTGTGCTTACGACTGAACGGACGTAGGAAACAGCTGGCGGTAAAACCATTACGCCCCCAGCTCGATCAGGAAACTAAATCCCTATTTGAGGAAGAACTAGCTAAACGCATATCTGAATTCGACAGCTGTGCTCACCCTGGAGAAGCCTGGAAGAATATTCAGTCAGCTATAGATACAGCTGTAAAAGCTGTGAATAAGACAAATCCAAAGGTGAGTAAAAACCACTGGATTTCGACTGCCTCATCCGAACTGATAGATGCTAGAAGACTTATTCCGGCGAGCTCCGAATTCAATGAGGAGCGAAAGCTGCACAAAAGGAAACTTACTAAAAGTCTCCGCAAGGACCGTGAACAGTGGTGGGTGACAAAGGCGAAAGAGATGGAAAAAGCATTGGCGATAGGCAACACTAGGCAACTCTTTAGACTCATCACAGAATCGGGCGGGAGAAGGCAATTCATAAGTGAGACTATTTCTGAGAAAAATGGCTCCTTAATTAGCTCTCAGGATAGACGCCTTGAACGCTGGAAAGAACACTTTGAGGAACAATTTAACTTGCCTACAGCCACACTGAACCTCCCCGCCATCCACCACGTACCCGAATGGGATATAGACACTGGTCCGCCGTCTGTAGGTGAGGTTACAAAAGCTATCAGTAATTTGAAACGAGGCAAAGCGGCAGGACCCGACGGAATTATTCCGGAGGTGTTTAAATATGGGGGTGACATACTAGTTTGTAGATTAACTGAGGTACTAGGCAAAGTCTGGGAATCAGAGACAGTACCATCAGACTGGGGTAAGTCACTTATTATACCGATATTCAAGAAGGGAAACAAGTCCTCGTGTGATAATCATAGGGGGATCAGCCTAACGAACATAGTCTCTAAAATCCTAGGCTCAGTAATCATGCATAGACTAAGCAGAACTCGGGAGGAACAGACAAGGGAAAATCAAGCAGGCTTTAGACCAGGTAGAGGGTGCATAGATCATATCTTCACTCTTCGACAGATTCTAGAACATAGACACACTTTTCGGCGTCCAACAATTGTCATATTTCTTGACTTGAAGGCGGCCTTCGACTCCGTGGACCGAAAGGTACTATGGCAATGTCTGACTGTGAAGGGAGTGCCAAGAAAGTACATTGCACTAATCAAGGCACTCTATTCAAACTCACGTAGTCGTGTAAGGGCTTATGGGGAATTGTCATCTGAATTGGTAACAACCAGTGGTGTCCGACAGGGATGTCCACTTTCCCCATTTCTGTTTAACTTCATCATAGATATGCTAATGGAAGTATCCTTAACTGAACGTAGTGACTTAGGAATCGACTTGTTACCAGGGAATAATCTTATGGACTTAGAATATGCAGATGACATAGTCCTGTTAGGGGAGGATGCTGACAAAATGCAGAGTCTTCTGAACACCTTGAGCAGCAATCTTCGTATGTTTGGCATGCGATTCGCCCCTATAAAATGTAAGATGCTGCTACAGGACTGGACACGTCAACCCTAACTTAGTGATAGGGAGTGAAGTGATAGAACATGTTGACCACTTCACCTACTTGGGAAGTTGTATTAGCACCAACGGACTGATTGGCGATGAAATCTCAGCACGGATCCGAAAAGCTCGAGCTGCTTTCGCTGACTTACACCATCTCTGGCGTAGGCGTGACATCCGGTTATCAACCAAGGGACGTGTGTACTGCTCATCAGTTCGCTCCGTCCTTCTCTATGGCTCTGAAACATGGCCAATACGCGTTGAAGACATGAAAAGGTTGACTGCTTTCGATCATAGATGTCTGCGATCTCTGTCTCACGTTAGGTGGTTTCACAAGATAAGTAATGTTGACGTTAGGCGTAGAGTGTTGGGCAAAGAGGGAAAATCAATCGACGAGGTTATAAAGTTACATAGACTAAGATGGCTAGGTCACGTGGTGCGCATGCCTAACCACCGCCTCCCCCGACGGGCATTGCTAGCTGATATAGGTTCAGGTTGGAAAAGAGCCAGTGGTGGCCAAACAAAAACATGGCATCAATCCATGAAATCCTTGACAGTTAAACTGAGTCAGGTAGGGAGATGCAGACTCCCGGGTTGGGGCCCTCGGGACTCTAGGAATCAATGGCTGGAGACAATAGGTGACATGGCTCAAAATCGTTGTCAATGGCGCAGATGTATTCAGTCTCTGTAATCTTTCATATTCCTTTCTACCATTACCCATTCTGTTTCACTCTTATATTTGTCAAACTCTATTGATTCTCTTCACTCATCTTCTTGTCTACCTCTGTGTGCTATTTGGAACGTGGCAACTCGAACTGGTGCACTTCGGTGCCAAGTTCTATGTTGAGTCCAGACAGACAGACAGAAAACTTGTGCACTGAGTTAGGGTATAATTCCATGATGGGTAAAATTTGTTTTTATAGTCTCACAGCCTTATACAGTAATGTTTATTGATGAAGTTTCGAGCCCAATTTATTGCTCATAATCGTACCGAGGTACCTTTTTTCTCAAGATACTTCCTCTGAAACTCAAATGGTGCCGTGTGATTATTAGAGCTAGAGTTGAGGAAGCCGTGTAGTTAGTTAAATCCACCTTAGAAGGAGTATGTTTAATTACCTTGATTTAGTTAACAATCACGTGTAACCCTGAGGATATCTCGGTCTTCCTTTTCTTGCTGGACTATTTAAAACGTTTTCTAATTCACCTGATATTGTAGACCTCATGGAATTGCCCTGTCCAGGTAGTAAATGACTAGGAGACAAATACAGTACTTTTTTAGCGTTGCGTCTGTTATTTGTTCTGAGTTAGTCGATGGCAATCAGCAGTAAGTTTAATTCGGTGACCACAATACAAAGTTAACCGACAGGGTTCAGCCAACATTAGGAACTAGAAAACTTTGTACTTATTATTAACCTAGTAGTCTATCTTCTCTTTTGAGAATAAAGCATGCCTTCCCAACTAAAGTTTCGCTAATTCTTGGTTTTTTAAGGAAGGAATCGGGTTGATGAACTTGAAAAGGTCTGCTGATTCTTGCTGCGACTACTGCGTTGTATTCCTATTAGAGCGTAAATTGTTGTACTTTTCACTTTCTACCCAGTGTGATCCAATCACATGTCCAACACCTTTTCTATGGATGGGTTGCATTCAGTAGGTTTCTAAGTTTGTCATCATCATAGGTTTGGACATTTGAGTGTAGTTATTCCGTGCCTGCTAAAGCCTGGGATATGCTTGTTTCAACTGAAAGGTAGTTGCTACCACAAGGCATGCTGTGAAAGGTCTGTCAATCTATCACCAGATGATGGTTAGTTGTGCAATCGTGGTTACAAGGTCAAATGCTTTTACGTTTGCAGCATTCGACTCTGTCGATCGGGAAGTTCTCTGGAGATGCTTGGCTGTAAAGGGAATTCCGAGAAAATACACTGCGCTGATTAAGGCACTCTACTCGTACTCATACAGCCAGGTGAGGGCTTACGGGGAGTCGTCATCTGAACTGGTGGCGACCAGTGGTGTCCATCAAGGATGCCCATTATCCCCTTTTCTATTCAACTTCATCATAGATGTACTAATGGACTTAACCCTAACTCACTTCAGCGACTCAGGAATTGACTTGCTACCAGGGAATAATCTCGTTGACTTAGAATATGCAGACGATATAGTCCTTCTAGGCGACGACTTTGACAAAATGCAGAGTCTTCTAAACACCTTGAGCCGCAATCTACGAATGTTTGGCATGCGATTCGCTCCCGCCAAATGCAAGATGATGTTACAGGACTGGACTACATCGACGCCTAGTTTAAAAATAGGAAGTGAAGTGGTAGAGCACGTTGACCGCTTCACTTATTTGGGAGGTGCCATCAGCCAACGACAACGGGTTGATCTCTGACGAAATCTCAGCACGAATACAGGGGGCTCGTTTCGCATTTGCCAGTTTACGCCGACTCTGGCGTAGACGAGATGTTCGACTATCGACCAAAGGGCGGGTGTACTGCTCATCAGTCCGCTCCGTCCTCCTTTTTGGTTGTGAGACCTGGCCACTCAGAGTGCAAGACATGAAAAGACTAGCTGTCTTTGATCATAGGTGCCTGCGTTCTATTTCCCGTGTAAAGTGGCATAATAAGGTGAGCAACATTGAAGTTAGGCGTCGAGTTCTAGGTGAACAGGGGGAAATCAATCGACGAAGTCGTGAAGTTACAAAGACTGAGATGGTTAGGACATGTGTTACGTATGCCAAGACATCGCCTCCCTCGACGAGCTATGTTAGCGGATATAGGGTCAGGCTGGAAAAAAGCTAGCGGCGGTCAAACAAAACTTGGCACCAGTCAATGAAATCCACAACAGTTGGTCTAAGCCATGTAGGAACGTGTAGACTTCCAGGCTGGGGTCCTCGGAACGGTAAAAATCTATGGTTGGAAACAATTGGTGACATGGCTCAAAATCGTTCTCAATGGCTGGTGCAGATGCATCCACTCCTCGTGACTTATGATTTCCAATGAAACTGTTTTGTTCTTCGTTATTACTCCTCCTTTGTCTCAAACCTCTGCTCACTGTCTCTATTATGCTTTTCTTGTACTTTCTTCTCTTGCTTCGCGTGCTACATGGAGTGTGGCGACTTGAACTTCCGCACATTTGTGCAAAGTTCTATGTCGAAAACAGACAGACAGACGTTTGCAGAAAAGTGATGTCTTGAGAGGCGGTAATCTGAAAACCCCTATCCCAACTATTGACAGTCAATGAAGAAGGAAGTCTTTCTCCACTCTCACAATAATACAGTTTACGAATATCATTTGATATCTCTTATAGTGTTCCTCTTACTATAAGACTCAGCGCTGTGCGGACGTGAGCAAGTCTGCGGCTGGATTAAAAACCTAGTCTCCAGAAAGTCGTATTTTCGTCAATTTTGTCTATGAACCCAAGAATTTGTGCTCGGGTGAAAATAAGGTTGATTCCTACCGGCAGTCAAGAGTGTTTGACAGATACCCCAGCTTAAGAAGTGTGCACAAGTTTGGCATCTAGGCTTAGTGAAGGGTTGTCGAGGTGAGATAATAAGGAACGTCTCCTGCTGCTTAAGGGGATTACTTTCTGGCCCTAAGCAACATCTGATACATCACTGAGTGGCGTCTCCTCCTCAAGCCCGGACCCTGAATTAGACCACATATAATATGGATGATGTCGCATAGGTGATTACCGCTACTTCTGGTTTCCGGTCATGCTTTAATATGTCCCAGCTTTATCTTTATGGAGTTGTTCATAAATGTCTCCTGAACAGGATAACGTAAGTGCAACAGTTGGTACATATCAGTTACATAGGCCGTATAATTGGTCGTGTTTTTCGTCGAATTTCTGAACATCACCCCGCGTGGTTAAGCAAAGGACAAACAAAATCTATTCGCAGCACTATTCTGTCTCATCTTGTGGATACAGAAAACACGATTGACGTTAACCATGCTTTCAGTGTCATTTACCGCATACCTACGAATCTCACTTTTGCCTTAAGAGTTCGAATACTAAATATTGCTGAGGCTTTGGGGATCTACATTAACAAGCCTAATCTATGCATCCAAAAGAAGTTAGTTCAGACATTATCATTACCTTGGCCATCTAGGTATAAATGATCATGAATTTTTTGGAATTTTCCTAATTTTAGTTGACATTCTATTCGCTACTATATCTTTATTATTATTATGATTTCAGCATCAAACTAACCTAGTCTCTATCAGCTGTTAACTATCCATAGTGTCAACAAACATTAGATGGACTCACATGAAGATGTCCAGTAGAGTTTGTTGAAGCTTAGATGAACGTCTTGCTAAAAACCACTAGGTTTCTTGGAGTTCTCTACAACTTTGTCACGCTCAGGAGGCGCTTCCGTGGGTAGCGACAGTAGTAGTATGTGTTACACCCCTAAGATTATAAGATCAGACTGCTTACCTTAGGACAGCGAATCCTGCTGGTCTTGTATCCTTTCTTTAAGTGTGATTTGTTCTGTTTGGACCAAGCGCAAAATACTATTGCAAGACTGATGAAAGCCTATAGCTGTATTTGGGATGTGCTACGAATTATACCGATGATTGCTTATAGGACTAAATAGTTCAGATCTGTTAATGCATTACAAATACTTGGGTGCGATCAAGAGGGTTATGTAACCCTTGGATTAATGAGAATGTTAAGTCCCGGATAATAAGAAATACACTTTTGACCTCGGAACTGAATAAGATTTTATTAGAACAGCTAACTGACTTCATATCATGAATTATCTGATGTCTGAATGATCTCCACTATACTTCGAAAAAGAATGAGGAAGGAATAGGCCCGTTCATCACAAAGTAAACCGACTATTAATCTCTCTACCGTTTTATTCAGGTCACGAGATAGAGCGTGATAACAGAGCAAAACTGAATACAGTTAATAAAACATACAAACGAATGGCTTTGAATTCGCTATATTTACATCTGCTGGTAGTTTAGTTACAGAAAAACTTGGTTGTTCCATGCCGCTAACTCGATTCATGATCATCTGATGTATATTCGCTGTCGTCATCGCACTTTATATTAGACAATCTCTCCTTGATTGAATCGGCCAAATCACCCTCCTGGCTCGAAAGGTTTCCTTCAACTTCATCAGTGCTACTAATTCCGATCGTATTTTGACTTGACTGAGCCATACGTAGTAGAGTACCTGTGACAAGGAAAAAGTTCCAAAAACCGGTTAAAATTGACTGCGAAATAAAATGTAACCTCTAGCTAAAGTGGTACAGATAAGTATATGCATAATCACTTGTTCAGTTTAATAATATGTGCTACAGGTATACATGATTCCCATTGGTACTTAACAAAAATGTTTATGTTTAGCCTGAATGATATAATACAAGAAGTGACTGGTTTTCAATGGCACTAACAAGATAGGCCAATATATTTCCTTTCTATAAAGTTTAATTATTAACTTTACCATCAGAGATATTAATTCAAAACGACATCAGGATTTAAATCTCTCATCTTCATAATCGTCGGTCACTAACTTCTTCGATAGCTTAATATTGAATTTTAGCAACAAAGCTGACTGAATATCAACACGGCCCAATAAGTAGTTTTATGAAGGAATGACATTTTTAGGGATGTGCAGACTTTCACTCAAATAATTATAATAGGTTACAGGATTTCATCACGAGCTGACATTGGTTAGAGAACCAAATCCCTACAAACCAATACTTGAATTATAATAGGGGCTGATATACAGATGACCTATGTGTATATGTTCATACGCCCTGTATGTTCAACACATCGATATATATATATATAGTTCACCAAGTGGAGTTTCAATCCCTCAGCGTCATTCAGGTGTTGCCATGATTAGGGATTCTTGGACTTGTAAAAATATGTTGCTTAAGTTAGTCTTTCCTCATCGATGTTACTGATAAACTTATTCTCAAATACTAATACCATTTTACTGTTTGTACAAATACGTTCCAGAACTTCTCGTTCAAATGCACAATGCAGTTTAAAATATCCAGTCTAGCAATTTCATATTTTCTACGTTGACCCCAAATGTACTGTATAAAACGCACTTTTTATACGTATATACTACAATTACTTACGACGTTCTCTCTCCCGAATATTTTTTATAGCATCTAGAAATTCTTGATTGATGTCTTCTTGCTTCACTGTAGTACTAGACAAATTTAAAGGACAGAAAAGTAATATAATTTATATAACAGAAATGTATAAAACAAAAAATTCTATCACGCGGACAAGTAATTTGTCGTTTAATAACAAATTGTGAAATAAAGTAATAATTCTCTGACTCTTAAAACTGTTTTATAATATCACTAAGTAAATTCTGACTATCATGACACTATTCTGACTTTATTGGATACAGCCGCGTTCTGCGTAAGAAATTGTCTGTTCAATTTGAAAATAAATAGTGATAGTGTCAAACCGCCATCCTTCTAGGAATATCAATCGCAACTATTCAATTACCTTGGTAGTTAAAAACCTGGAGTCACTCATAAAAGATCAATTGATTGTAAAAATTATTGATAAGTCACTTTACGGGGAATCATACATTATGTGGGAAACGCGTTGATGACGTGAACAACGCCTGTCTATTTAAAATCTAACTAACAAAATAGTAGTGCACGCGGGTCTTTATTCGTAAATATGTGGATAAAATTTTAAGTTAATGTAATCACTTATAGGAATTTCGCTAAATATATTGTCTAGACCGAATCTTATAATAATGTTAACATTCATGGCAATTTTTTAGCTTGCAATGCATATTATTATTCCTTCGGGCTCCAAGTGGAACAGCATATATCCACTTTGTTCTATTTTCTTCTGTACTCTTCAACTGGGCCAAAGATTGCTCATAATCTTTCATCTCCTGGTACGATTTCTTCCATGTCATCCTTGGGAGACCCACTCTAGTTACTTCCCATTGGGGTTCGACTCGAAGCTTTGGCGTGTGGTTTCATTCAACAGCCTCCTCAACGTGTGCTTGATCTACCTCCATTTTCTCCTACGTATTTATTGGGCGATCGGATCTTGGTTGATTTGTTGCCAGAGTTTCTTGTTGCTGATTCTTTCTGGCCTGCCGTTTCATCTTCAGTATGGAGCCAGCGAAAGCAGCTGTTGGAAATCTTTTGCGTGACACTCAGTGCAAGTTTCTGACCCCTATTAAAGAACTGACTAACTTCACATTTGTGTTGAAAATCCGAATCTTGTTTTTATGCTGAGTGCAGATTTCGGATGATGAAGGCGTACCTTCCCTTTTTCATTCTGGCTGGCTCTAACATCTTCATCTGTCCCTCCTGTAGTTGAAATGATGCTTTCAAGATAAGTGAACCAATTAACCTCTGTTAAATCTCTCCCGCTGACAGTGATCGGTGCTGGTTATTGTTGTTGATTGGCTATCTTCAACACCTTCGTCTTCTCTAGGCCCACTTGGAATCCTGTCTTTGCTGCCATCTTCTTAGGGCAGTTTGTTGGTTTTGGCTTGCAAGTCTTCGAGTTTGTATGACATTAAACAAGTCGTCCGCGAAGTCCAGATCTCCTAGAATCTTCTTGTCGACCCAATTCTATTGCTATCTTCTCGCTCTCAACTCTTTCGTATAGTTCAGTCCACCACAATTAAGAATATCATCAGTGATAATAGGCAGCCAGATTGTCTTACTCATGTATTCACTTAGAACGCTTCTCTGAGTTTTCCGTTGTGGACCACCTGATACGTGGAAGTGTCATATAGCTGTTGAATGAGGTTGACAAAGTCTTGAGGTACGCCGTAGTGTTGAAGTAGTTTCCAAATTACTTATCGGTCAACACTGTCTGTCGAAGGCCTTTCCGAATTCGATGAAGTTGAGGTATAAGTTTGATTGCTATTCTATGCCTTGTTGGGATGACGAGGCGCAGAATTGTAATTTGATCAGCACATCACTTGCCTTTCCTTAATCCAGCTTGTTCCAGGGGGGCGGAGTTTTGCGCCCAGTGCATCATTATTCTCTCCCGGATGATGCGAATTAGTATCTTACTTGGCGTGGACAAGAGCATTATTCCACGCCAGTCCTGGTAGAGCAAGTCACAAGTCACCCTTTCTTCCAATCGATAAGGACCTACGACTTCCACTTCATTACCATAATGTAGAAGTTATGAATTTATGCCAAGTTTGTTTTTGCTTTTATGATTATCCCGTCATTTATTGTTATTATTATTATTGTTCCCTTAGGTTCCAGGTGGAACAAAAGGCTTCAACAACACATCTTCACTTTATTTTCTGCCATCCTCTTCAACTGGGTACACTAACGCCAAAACTCTCCAATGTCTTCCTCACACGATCTCCTCCATGTTGCCCTAGGACGACCCACAAGTCGCTTCCCACTTGGATTCTACTCGAAAGCCTGGCGCGCGATGTCATTCGACGATATACTCAATGTATGCCTGGTCCATCTCTATTTTCTACTACATATTTTTTGATCGCTCAACAAACATAATATTGGGTGTCCATGATGATTCCTTTTTTAGGATGGATGTAAAATAAACGAAGCAACAAGGGTTAGCAGTAACGATAGAGAATGAAAACAAAATCATGAAACGACGTAATCACATGAAAAAAACAATCAAGAAACAAAGTTTATCTTGCAAGCGAAGTTGCAAGGCTGTTGTTTTAAGTGACTTTCAAAGAGTTCCGAGGTCAAAAGTCATGACAATGGAATTACCAGTCTGTTGGTGAATGGAAAAATATTTAAGATAGTCGGTAAGTGACGAAAATACAGCTTTTCTTACCAAAACATTATATGTAAAATATGGGCAGTCTGAGTAGTATTAGTCTGTGCATCGTTAACTAAATAACCATAATTTTTTTAAAGTTGATCTAAATTAAGGCTATCGGAAGCAAGTGAGATTATGTCCGGCAGCTCATTGTTCTTTAGTGAAGAACCAGGAAATAAAGCAGCCACGTAGATTTCACATCGAAGAGCTACACAATAAATTAACAACACACGAATCGAATTGATGTGATGTGTAAGTCACTGATTATCCCCATATACAAGAAGGGAGACAAGTCTTCCTGTGATAATCACAGAGGGATTAGCTTGACTAATATAGTATCTAAAGTCTTAGGCTCAATAATCATGCGTAGACTGAGTGGTGCTCGGGAAGCACAAACACGAGAGAGCCAGGCAGGCTGCTTCAGACCAGGAAGAGGGTGTATTGATCATATCTTCACCCTCCGACAGATTCTAGAACATACGAATTCCTACCGGCGTCCAACAGTCATTATATTTCTTGACCTAAAGGCAGCATTCGAGTCTGTCGATCGGAAAGTTCTCTGGAGATGCTTGGCTGTAAAGGGAATTCCGAGAAAATACACTGCCCTGATTAAGGCACTCTACTCGTACTCATACAGCCAGGTGAGGGCTTACGGCGAGCTGTCATCTGAACTGATGACGACCAGTGGTGTCCGTCAAGGATGCCCATTATCCCCTTTTCTATTCAACTTCATCATAGATGTACTAATGGACTTAACCCTAACTCACTTCAGCGACTCAGGGACTGACTTGTTACCGTCAGGGAATAATCTCGTTGACTTGGAATATGCAGACGATATAGTCCTCCTAGGCGACGACTTTGACAAAATGCAGAGTCTTCTAAACACCTTGAGCCGTAATCTACGAATATTTGGCATGCGATTCGCTCCCGCCAAATGCAAGATGATGTTACAGGACTGGACCACATCGACGCCTAGTTTAAAAATAGGAAGTGAAGTGGTAGAGCACGTTGACCCCTTCACTTATTTGGGAAGTACCATCAGCCCCAACGGGCTGATCTCTGACGAAATCTCAGCACGAATACAGGGGGCTCGTTTCGCATTTGCCAGTTTACGCCGACTCTGGCGTAGACGAGATGTTCGACTATCGACCAAAGGGCGGGTGTACTGCTCATCAGTCCGCTCCGTCCTCCTTTATGGTTGTGAGACCTGGCCACTCAGAGTGCAAGACATGAAAAGACTAGCTGTCTTTGATCATAGGTGCCTGCGTTCTATTTCCCGTGTAAAGTGGCATAATAAGGTGAGCAACATGGAGGTTAGGCGTAGAGTTCTAGGTAAACAGGGGAAATCAATCGACGAAGTCGTGAAGTTACAAAGACTGAGATGGTTAGGACATGTGTTACGTATGCCAAGTCATCGTCTCCCTCGACGAGCTATGTTAGCGGATATAGGGTCAGGCTGGAAAAAAGCTAGCGGCGGTCAAACAAAACTTGGCACCAGTCAATGAAATCCACAACAGTTGGTCTAAGCCATGTAGGAACGTGTAGACTTCCAGGCTGGGGTCCTCGGAACGGTAAAAATCTATGGTTGGAAACAATTGGTGACATGGCTCAAAATCGTTCTCAATGGCTGGTGCAGATGCATCCACTCCTCGTGACTTATGATTTCCAATGAAACTGTTTTGTATTTCTTTATTACTCCTTTGTCTCACACCTCTGTTTACTGTCTCTATTATGCTTTTCTTGTACTTTCTTCTCTTGCTTCGCGTGCTACACGGAATGTGGCGACTTGAACTTCCGCACATTTGTGCAAAGTTCTATGTCGAAAACAGACAGACAGACAGATAAACAGACAACAATATGTATGTAATGATAATAACTCTTAATAATCGAAATTCTTACTCAAAAGCAATAGTTTCACTGGACTTTCCACATTTAGCACAGATTTTCAATGCGGATGAACAACTTTTGCAAACAGTATGATAGGCTTGCTTAACAGTCTTTTCATTGCATTTCACACTGTAGTAAGATAAATCGCAAAACAAACAAATGTGAAGTGAAATTTTAAAACAATATATATATATATATATAGCCGATAAAAAAATGACAGCAGAAAACATAAACCGTGAAATTAGAAGTTATTTTCCCGACAGAATAAATGGATAAAATTAACTCTAGTGTAAACAAAGTTGAAATGTACAAAATAATAGAAGTGTTAGCAAGAAAATAAAAGCATTACAAAAAGAAATTAATTTAAACTTGAACCACAATATGCTAACCAAATCTTGACGAACAGAGCCCTTAAATATTGGGTCTAAAGAACATACTATTCTTTTTCTTATCTGACCTACCTGAATAGCTTCAACTCTCAGTGTGATACTACGCAGTATAGGTTCAAATCTCAGAAGAAACAACAGTATATCTTGTGAGAGCACATGCGCTCTCAGATTACTCTAAATGTACTCTAAATGTCTAGTATCTAATAAAAAGTATTGTGATGTCAAATTAGCTAATGTAACTGCTACGTTTCCGAATTAATCAATTAAAAACAGGCCATATGATTTGTAATTTGACTATAGACTCATAAGTGTAAAATTACTGCCTATTTACGATTATTATTAATGATTAGCTTACCAGACTTTCGGATTAGTCAACTGATGATACTTCTTAAACTTAACTCTCCACTGTATGATCTCTGCACATCTAGAACACAGGTTATCAAAAGTCACGCTGTTGAGCTGTTTGATTTCTTTTGATGTATCGTGCAAGTCGTTCTTGAAGGCTCTGCTATTTTTGTACTTTTGAGGACGCTTACGCTGAACGTTACCCTTCTGTGTACTCATTTAAATTTCTGAAACGCAAGTTTATAAAAATATAATAATCCATGGGAATAAATGATAAGCACGTTTTGTAAGAAGTCAGCTACACATAGAATTTATTTGAAACATCAGCAGTCGGGAATAATTACAAACTCGAAGGTCACTTAGATATCACGAAAATCATAACTCAGAGACGTACTGATTGGAATTCTCCCGCTGAAAAGATCCAGTACCAATGACATGAATAGTATATTAATTATCACTAGCATGTACTTTAAGTAGTAACAGGATTATTCCGATTGAAAATAATATCAAATATTTTTGAATTTAACTCCTACGAACTAATGACTAGCGTGTCTACGTGTTCATCCAACACTACCAATACATTTACGATAATTACTACTACGTATTACGTAAAAATCAGTAAGAATGGGCCAGAAAGCGTCCGCTTCTAAAAATGCTTTCGATTCACAAAACGTGTGCAAAAAGAAGTCAATGATTTCAATAATTTTAAAAATCACTCGCTCCCAGCGCCAACGGTCGAAATTTAACATACCACAAGATTTTGTTGGTACATAACAGCTCAACAAAAGCACTATTACATCATTTTTATATTTGCCTTTCTGACCTAGTGTCATGTTTATGACGCTTTCATCACTACATGGAAACTGCTAGTGAAACACCAATTTTAGTCTAATTCTGAAGTATACAGCAAAAGGTGATACTTTGGCATAGGCGATAGGAAGACACGAAATATATTTCAGTCAACTCGGAAAACGGAGACTCACTAATTTACACATTAAATTTCAGGGTTTACCATACACTCTATATCTAACCTTTTCCCTAAACCCACATAACGAAACCAAAACAGTTACAAAATTGCACTTTTGATCATGAACTAAGAATCACAACATTAGAGGAGACCCATTTCCTCTTTATTATCTCTGAAATTTCCTATTTCTTCATCGTCTCTTTCCTAAGTGCCAATACACTGATGCCTTTTTTCATCGATGTAATATAAACTCCAATTTCTGCATTTCGGTCTCTTCATGCCTATGGTATGATCAGAACACTAGTCCTCTGATCAATCAATTATTTTCAATAACTTCCTATTTCTACTATTTAACCATAAATAAACGCATATTAAAACAAGCAATAAAGGTTAATAAAGCAGGATTTAATGTTGCTTGTTTTAAATTCGTATCGGGAAATAAATGTTTTTAACACGCATATTAGCATACAAGTATAAGATGAAATAATAGTCTGTTGGTTAACATAGTCGAACGAACGCATATAGAATATAATCATTTAGGACATAAGACAAAATGTTAATAGACAAGTGACATACAAATGTATTATCAATGAACAAAGTATGTCTTCGGAGTTTGAGTTATATCCGATCGTGTAAGAAAAACTGGAATACACAAATATAAACAAACAAACAGAGCACGCTGAATGCAGGCTCGAGGGCCAATAGATAAAAAATGTAATGGTAAAATGAAATGATCAAATAGTTAACTGTGGTCAAATAGTAATGATAAGATACGCTTAGTGCAAATCAAAGGTTGACAAAGGATCTGTCTGTCTGGATTCAACATAGAACTTGGCACCGAAGTCCAGCAGTTCGAGTTGCCACGTTCCAAATAGCACACAGAGGTAGACAAGAAGATGAGTGAAGAGAATCAATAAAGTTTGACAAGAATAAGAGTGAAACAGAGTGGGTAATTGTAGGAAGGAATATGAAAGATTACAGAGACTGAATACATCTGCGCTGTCATTGACAACGATTTTGAGCCATGTCACCTATTGTCTCCAGCCATTGATTCCTAGAGTCCCGAGGCCCCCAACCCGGGAGTCTGCATCTCCCTACCTGACTCAGTTTAACTGTCAAGGATTCCATGGATTGATGCCATGTTTTTGTTTGGCCACCACTGGCTCTTTCCCAGCCTGCACCTATATCAGCTAGCAATGCCCGTCGGGGGAGGCGGTGGTTAGGCATGCGCAGCACGTGACCTAGCCATCTTAGTCTATGTAACTTTATAGCCTCGTCGATTGATTTTACCTCTTTGCCCAACACTCTACGCCTAACGTCAACATTACTTACCTTATTACACCACCTAACGTGAGACAGAGATCGCAGACATCTATGATCGAAAGCAGTCAACCTTTTCATGTCTTCAACGCGTATTGGTCATGTTTCAGAGCCATAGAGAAGGACGGAGCGAACTGATGAGCAGTACACACGTCCCTTGGTTGATAACCGGATGTCACGCCTACGCCAGAGATGGTGTAGGTCAGCGAAAGCAGCTCGAGCTTTTCGGATCCGTGCTGAGATTTCATCGCCAATCAGTCCGTTGGTGCTAACACAACTTCCCAAGTAGGTGAAGTGGTCAACATGTTCTATCACTTCCCTCCCTATCACTAAGTTAGGGGTTGACGTGGTCCAGTCCTGTAGCAGCATCTTACATTTTGTAGGGGCGAATCGCATGCCAAACATACGAAGACTGCTGCTCAAGGTGTTCAGAAGACTCTGCATTTTTTCAGAATCCTCCCCTAACAGGACTATGTCATCTGCATATTCTAAGTCCATAAGACTATTCCCTGGTAACAAGTCGATTCCTAAGTCATTACGTTCAGTTAAGGATACTTCCATCAGCATATCTATGATGAAGTTAAACAGAAATAGGGAAAGTGGATATCCCTGTCGGACACCACTGGTTGTTACCAATTCAGATGACAATTCCCCATAAGCCCTTACACGACTACGTGAGTTTGAATAGAGTGCCTTGATTAGTGCAATGTACTTTCTTGGCACTTGACAAAGGATGGTAATAACTGAGTCAAGAAAAATAGGTGAAAAGGGAATTTTATGAACGTAATCCATAAATAGTTCCATTAAATGTCTAGGAAACTCATGAAAAGCTTATTTTGCTTTGTGACATATGTCTAACGAATGAAGTAGTGCTTTTTTGAAAAGATTCAATTTGGCTAGATGGAAATCTCTTGAGAGACGTCGCATTAGGTCGCACAATACAACAAGGCAATGACTCGAGAAATATGTCACAAAGCCATATATGCTATTGATGGACTTCGTAGAAATTTGGGGGAATTATTTGTGAAATACATTCATGAGGTCTCCAAACCAGAGAAATTAAAAAGCGAATAAAACTGACGGAAGAGTTGAACTGAAATATCTGAATTCTTTTTTCCAACGACTCTAACTGGTACGTCTTCAACTTTTCTAATGCTTTCTCATATGATACTGCTATTCAAGTGTTGTCGATTAGCTCAAAATTTTGTGACAGCACGATATATATTGATCATTTAAGGACAGAAGTGCAGTTTGAAAACGCTTATATTGAAACACAAGATTGAATACTGTCTTCTAAGTGTTTGAGAGATTTAAGAGTACTCCTGTTAACTGTTACTACCGGTACAACAATCTCAAGTTTGATATGAAAAACATGCTTAAGAAAGAATACGAAGAATGCATCCGGGAAGTAAAATAGGATGATAGCCTTATAACCGTAGTCCTGACAAGGACACCGGAATTATGAACAGACGAAAGCTTTACATGTTGATCTTTACTAGTTTCAAAATTGGGTAGCAATGTCATTTTGTTGAGGCTTTATAACCATGAAAAATGAGAACGTAATCAAGATATCTGTTTTCGATGTTTCAAAACCCCAGGAACTCATACACCTAGGTTTTATAGTAAACCGAATATGCATGAGCAGGGATTTCCTCTACGTTCCATTTTGAACATGTCGAATTAACCATTTTATTCAACTGCGAAATGGCTGATAAATTTGCTGGAACCTCTAAATCACGACTGTAAAAAAAACGTATACCACTGTTGAAAACACTTATGATATGAACATAATGAAATAACGGTCAATGCTGCAGAACTACACGCCAGTTACTCAACCACGTAGATACTAAAACACTGCACTTGAGATGCATTATCAATAATGTCCACATCAATACGTATACAAATTTAACTACTGTGGAGCTAGTTATATAAGTCGTACTTAGAGGGATATATTTTTACACACATGAACAAGTCCCAGCAGCACGTATGAGGATATCAACTACAGCATCGGTAAATCAAGACCGATCTTTATCGGTCTGAAATTAATATCAATGTCCACACACTCACCATACAAATAAGGTCAACGTATTTAACACTAGCGTTCATTAAGTGCTACTAAACAGTTCGGAGCTTTACGAAAATCATTTCCGATGGCCTGTTACCGTCTTCGTTCGGAACTAATGTCCAGCCAGAAAATCCAAATATCGCTGGATCTGAAGTGTTGAGAATGAAAGAGAAATTTGTAGCTGGAATTAACCCAACCAGAACATTTCGGCGTAGCTGAATGTCGGTGGCACAGTGGTTAGGACTCTCGCCGACCATGCACATGGTCCGGAGTTCGAGCCCACGCCGACGCACACCTAATATCTATGGTCGGCCTGAGAAATTTGGGCTACCGATATCCACGCTGAAAATTCCATACTTGTACCAAAAATACGGTGTGGAATCAAGCTATAAATCAAAAATAATAATAATAAATGAATGAATGAAAATACTGGCAGTGCCTTGAATGCCCTAAAACTACATTTTGATGAGAAACCCTTAAAATAAATATCCAAAAGTTGGACAGATTCGCACAACGGTAATCTAGAGGACAGAATGCAGCTGCCCTTCAGCCTCTGACTCCGGTATTTTACTGTTTAGAAGTATGTACTTGAAGAAATTTGTGACAGTCTATATGAGCTCATGGTCTGTTTAACCTATGAGGGAGTTTAAATAAGCAGAGGCCTCAGGTTCTAAAACACCAACGCAAAAATCTACCAGGTTAAACATAAATAACTCACTGATTTCGCAAAACACGCCCCAACGTTAAAGTAACGCATATCGATATAATGCCGCATTTAACTGTCATATAATAAGTCCAAAATCCAATATCGTTTTCACGAGCTAGCATAAACCAATCTGATTTATTTGTGCTCGCCTCTTGATTGTGAGTCATAGATTCCTGATCTTCGGTACACTTCTGCGTAGCTTGTCCTGCCACTCGAATGTCGGAGCTTTGGTTGACTCCAAAAGGAGTAGTACTGAGATTAATTATATGTTGTTTGCGAAGCGTTAAGACTTTGTTACTACAGTGAATGAAGTCGATCCTTTCACCAGTAAGTTCTCCGGTAAAGTCGCCAAAAGAAAAGAGATAATAATAATAAACATAATTAGTGAAGTTATTCAGACTAAGAGACAAAAAAAGAAATAAAGAAAACGTAAACACAGACAGCTAAATAGATTTGAAGTTGACATATATATACATATATAATATCAGCAATAGGAATAATAAGTGGAAATGTAGTAGTTAGTTGTCAGGAGAGTAAGATGGGAGAGAACGTAAATCATCCATCGCGAAATTTGAAGAGATAGTGGATTTTACACGCTCTTGTTTGGTTTTGACTCTTGTTGTGTTATACACTCCAAAAGTCTACAGATTAACTTCAAGTCAGTTTATTCTGATCGAAGTTTGTATAAGTTTCAGTTTTGAGACTATTAAATTATACCAAGTTGTGTTCTTATAACCTAGTATTCATATTTACCCAAATTTCAGCACTCATTTGCTTTTTATCACTGATTTATAAAGGTTATATATATAGTCATATTTAAATCGTTTTTCCCTAACTCGCTCAAAAGCATCCCGATCAAAAGAAACCACTGCGGAAGGGTTATGTGCCAATTTCCAGTGGATGAGGGAATGCAATGTGATAACTGCAAAAGATGGATTCATAGCATGTACACAAACCTAACTCCTGCAACATAAAAACTGCTGCAAACCTCTAGCAAACTGGTTGTGCAGTGACTGCTGCAGTACGTCTAAATTTCGTATAACAGAAGTCATTGCCACTCTCAGTGGGACTGCAAGGGTCTTCCACCACAGGAGAAGACCGACTTCTGCCCAGACAACGAAGACGGGGTTAGCGTCACCGACAAAACAGTACATGTTCCTGATTCATCTCTGTCAATGAGTGAGTGCCCTCCAGTACAGAAGAGCACCCACCATATTCCAGACACACACGCTGCCCCCACGATACCGGATAAGCCCTCCAGCGACAGTTACGGAAAGACTGTCACGAAGAAGATGTGCACCAGGGATCGAAAACCTGCAACACAAGTCACCTAAGGACTGGTAGACCAAGCCTCATCTACACCGGTGAATAGCAGGCAGATAAAATCGACTACGATAAGCGAGGATGACGCCGGTAAATTGCTTAAAGTAGTCTCTCGCAGAAACCGAGATAAAGACAAAACATCGGCTACACCGCCCACGAAGGACAGAAAGACACTTACGCTGCAGAGCAAGAAAGCCACGATAAGCAAAACTGATCTCTCTGAGATGTCACTCATTCTCCACAAAGTTGAAGAATCACTGCCCTCCGATCCCAGGGTCAGGTTCGAGCATGATCTTAACCTGGTCAAGCCGCTCTTAAACAATCTACTGCCAACAAGAGTATCAGACATAGCCATACAAAGCCAGAATAGAATCGGCCAAAAGCCTGACTCGACAACAAATCAGCCGGTACGCATCCTCAAAGTCTTAGTAAACTCCAAAGAAGGGGGGATGCCATTCTAAGCAACTCTAAAATTGCTAGAGGATCAGGCAATATGTCCGTGCTGACTTAAGCCTAGTAGATCGTGTCAAAAGACACTCTGCGGCTCTAGAATTAAGCGAACGACATCGAGGCAGCGAAAAGTTCGGGTTGTCAAAATTAGAAGTTTGATGATCCCGAAACCTCTGTGTGTAGGCAGCGGAAGCACCAAACTGAAGTGACAGTTTGCTTCACAAACGCCCGCAGCCTATTGAGCAAACGGACTGAGCTGGTTAACGTGATAGACTCCGGAAACCCGAGTGTAATTATCATCACAGAGACAAGGCTCACACCCGATGTCAATGACAACGAAGTTAACCTGCCAAACTTCGAAGTGCATAGGGTTCACCGACTAAACCGCAAGGGATATCGCGTAGTCGTCTTCCTCAAAAAACGCTTAACCGTGCACAACATCGAAGGACTCACTCACGAAAGGGAATCGTGTGAATTTCTATGCTGCAGACTTAAATGCATAGGCCAAGACATTGACCTCATCGCTATGTACCGCAGTCCTGACTGCAATGCAGATGATTTCCTAGTAGAGAAACTAGGTTCCTGGACTTCGAATTGTCGAAGTCTCGTAGTCGGTGACTTCAACATCTCAACAGTTGACTGTATGAGCCTTACAATTCCATCTTCAGTCAACTCATTTGACGATAAATTGCTGGAGTCTAATATATCACTAGCCCTAGTCTAACATGTCATTAAGCCCACGCTCTATAACCAACAGCACCACTCATCAACTCTGGACCTAGTGTTCTCCCACGGTGAGGATGTGGATCTTATAAAACATCTTCCCCCTATAGGATGAAGTGACCATGCTGTGCTCACTTTCAAGTTCACAGAAACGGCAGCAGGGGCTATAACACCGGCTAGACCAAATCTTCGGAAAGCTTATATAAATGCAATCGTCTCCGCAGCCAACTCAGTAAACTGAAACATCAACTCAGAGTCCCAAGTAGAAGCCGCATGGAACCAATTTAAACAACTTTACGCCCAATTAACTGAACCTTTCATCCCTTAGTCTGTCCTAAAGGGTCGGAAACATTGCCCCACTTGGATAAACCAAGAGATTCGTCAGTTACTCAGACGTAAACACAAATGTTGGAACCAGTTTGCCACATTTGAGCCTTCCGAGACCAGGAAATTATATAATACTGCTATAAATAAAGCTATTACAGAAATCCGCCAATCAGGGATGAAGTTCGAAGTATATCTGGCCCAAAATGCAAAGGCACAACCTAAAAGAATATTCTGATATATGAGCTTCAGGAATAAAACATCCGGTGATGTCCCAGTCCTGACTACCGACAATGATACAATCGAAGAAGATCAAGAAAAAGTAGAAGCAATGGCAGACTACTTCTCCGAAGTCTTCATTCAGGAATCATCACTGCCTATAGGATTAGCTCTGGCTGCATCAGAAGAACACGTGATAGATTCCGTTGACATCAACCAAGACATCGCGCTCAACTGCCTAATGAAACCAAATGCATGGAAATCAATGGGTCCTGATAATCTTCATCCAAAGCCTCTCAAGGAGCTATTACCTCACATAGACGGCCCTTTGACCACAGTCTTCAAGCTATTTCTCTTGACTGCAGTGTTACCAAGTGACTGAAAAGACGCCATAGCAACTCTCATTCACAAAGGAGGATCAAGACAAAGCCCTTCAAATTACAGGCCTATCAGTCTCACCAGTACTTTAATCAAAACACTGGCAAGAATCACCAAGAAAAGCATCATGGCATATCTGGAAAACAGCAGCTTGTTATCTAAAGTACAGCCCGGCTTCTGAATAAACCTGTCATGCCTATCAAATGTTCTCACTGCAGGAGAAAGCTGGGTCAAATCAAGGGACAACACAAGGCCCGCTGACGTCGTCTTGATAGACTTCAGCAAAGCCTTTGATAAAGTACCTCACGAAAGACTACTCATGAAGTAGGAAAGTTTTGGTATCAAAGGCACATTAATAAACTGGCTCAGGGAAATCTTCATAGATAGGAGGCAGAGTGTTAGGATCAACTCGAAGCTCCCCTCTTGGACAGCAGTACGTAGCGGAGTGCCACAAGGCATGATACTCGGTCCTCGATTACTTATTTCGTATACCAATGAGTTATCTCTCCTCACCGACACCCCTGTTGTCACAAACACAGATGAATCAGAAATTTGGAGAGAGCTGAAGGGCAACAGTGATACGTTCACGTTGCAAGAGGAACTCAACAAATTGTCCGAGTGGCCCATATAATGGATGATAAATGTGGCAAAATGTGCGACCATACGCGTTAGACAAGCAAGCACGAGCTCCTACGAACTAGAGGGAATAACACTTCCATCAGTTTAGACTCACTTGGACTTAGGTGTCATAGTTAGCCAGGACTTTAAAACTACAGCGCACTGTCCCGTGATGGCTGCACGTAGTTTCAGGTCCCTATGGGCAATTCTCAGAGCCTTTACTAGAATTACCAGAGATATGTTCACCTCCTTATATACATCTCTGGTTAGGTCAAGACTGGAAAACTGCATCCAGGCCGCCAGTCCTTGTCTAAAAGGGGATTCACACATTCTAGAAAGTGTTCAAAGGAAGGCAACAAGTATGGTTCACGGCATAGCTAACTTATCATACGAGGAAAGACTAGACAGTTTAAATCTCTTCTCCCTGTCATACCGTAGGCAGAGAGGAGACTTAATCACAATGTTTAAAATTTTAAATAATGACTACGGGCTTGACCAATTCTCTCTTTTCGATCCCACCAGGTTGCAACACCTTAGAGGACATAGCAGGAGAGTTCAAAAGCCCAGAAGAAATCATATTGCTGCTGAGTACTGGTTCTCACATCGAGTCATAAACTCCTGGAACCGACTCCCAGAAGAGGTGGTGTCTGCAACCCCAACTGATCGGTTCAAGAAGGGCTTGGACAACCACAGAAATTTACTGAAAAGGATTGACATATGCTATAAGCCTTCTATCTTCAACCAATAAATCTGAATCTGAAATTCATGCGGGAATTACGAAACATCGCGTTAATTGAAGGTAAGTATGGTATACAGGTTCTATAGTAAGACACACAAGAGGCAGAACTTACGATCGTTATCACGTGATCAATTTATTAGGGGGCAACGGTAGAGAATTGACACCAACTTCAGTCAACCGTGAAGTAGACAATCAGATTCTTCTAGGTGAAAAAAGGTATTTAATTTACAAAGTAGTGTATCTACAATATATATGTGATGAAAATGAACAATAAAAAGTTTGTATCTCTAATATGGTTGAAAAGCTGGTCCCAGATTCTCGTAGAAGTGGCTATAGACATATCAAACCGATGTATTGTACAGCTGTCGGAGATACTGGTTGCATATAAGCTATATATTAGTAGGGGAGACATTTGATTTCGAGAAGAAAGTGTGCGAAAGTCACAAGTTATGTTTATTGTGAATCGGTCATCTCTCTTATCATGTTGTGCAGTCTTCCCCAAAAGCCCCAGGTTGAATTACTATGGTTTCCAATAAGAGGATCGACTGATATAAGTATAAAACTTGGGCACTGTGGTAGAGCATAATTCCATTATGGATAAGGTTTTATTTTGATGAATCACACAGTGTTGTGCAGTTATATTAACTGATGACGTTTCGAGCACAAACCATTGCTCATAATCATATCAAGTAACACACAACTTTTTTCTTTCATTTATATACATGTGTGGAATCGATTAAAAATCAATGTGAGATGATGTCCATTCAGAAATAATCGTACGAGTGTTATTAACCCACTACAATTATATGGGAAATACGAAAGTTTTATACGAGTGTTTTTTTTATAGTCATAATACATCACTTGTTAGAATGTTGTGATGTGTTTGAATTGAAATAGAATTTTAAGATTATTTATTATCTTCTTCTGATTTGACTTGAGGTAATATTATCTTCCATACTTCTGGTATTTGCATTGAGTCACTTCTGTTGCATGTGTTGGGTGTAGACTCAATGAACAAGGATTCCGTAATCAACCTATCTCTCCACCTACCTAGATTACTTTTTAGAATTTTAACCCTCTCCCACCCTATTATGTGGTTGTGTGTTAATGTATGCATTGAAATTGCTGAGCTTTTTTCCGAATTACTTATCTTCTCGGGTGGGGTCAACCATTCTTACCTTAGCTAAATTCTTATGCTCTGATAATCTGACTACCCCTGACCTACTAGTTTGACCTATGTAGTTGACATAACAATCATTGCAGGGTATTTTGTAAATAATATTATTTTGTCTAATTGGGTCCACGGGGTCTTTTAGCCTTCAGAGCTTGTCTCTGAGTGAGTTTGTAGGTTTAAATGCCACCCTAATTCCTGCTTTATTTAGAATCCTACGTAGGGTCTCGGATGTCCCCTCTTTATATGGTATAACTGTGGATGACTTATATTCTCTCTTATTTATGTTATTATTACTAGCTTCACAATGACTTCTATTTTTTGTCTGGCCTTTTTCGATCTTCCTAATGAATTCTAAGGGATAGTTATTTAACACCAAAGCCTCTTCTATCTGTTTTAATTCATCATTTAGGTCTTTTCTTGTGCTACTTAATGCTATGGCTCGGCTTTTTAAACACTTAACTGAGCCTGTCTTAACAGTTAACGGATGAGATGAATTAAAGTCTAAGTATCTATTAGAGTGAATTGGTTTTCTATAAACACTAGTGTGTAGTTGCCTTCTTCCATCCTTTTTATCTTACAATCTAACATAGGTAATTCTCCTTGTTCATTTTCTGATTCAAATGTAAATTTTATTCCCTCAACTTGTGAGTTTATATGTGTCAAGAAGCTAGAGATATGTTGTTTTTAACACTGTGAAAGTGTCATCCACATATCTCCACCATATTTTTGGAGTAGGATTAAATGTATTAAGAGCTATATTTTCCCAGCTGTCCATAAATATGTCTGCCTCCATTCCACACATGTATATAAATGAAAGCAATTAGTTGTGTGAGTTACTTGATATGATTATGAGCAATGGTTTGTGCTCGAAACGTCATCAGTTAATATAATTGTACAACACTGTGTGTGATTTATCAAAATAAAATCTTATCCGTAATGAAGAGGATCGACGACTAATTACCGGGAAAATGTGGATAAGAAAACAAATTAAAGTAGATGACATCAACTACTGATGTAACCCTAGTCGTAACCCTAACCTTAATGCTGACTCTAACTAACTTAATCGAAATGGTACTTAAAAACGTGATCTGAGTGAAATTTGCTGCTTAGTTGGTGAATAACGTTGATATTTCAGCCATGATAATGACAAGTGCCGTCAGCCGACGACTTGTATGTGTTCAAGGACACTGGAGCTTTCGTACTCGTGGGACGCTATTGTTGAACTTTGCCATTAATAACACTTGAAAATAGAGAACTTTGATACGAGATCAGTTGCTTCAATTCGTACCATTAATTTAACCCCAAGAGTTACTTACACAGTTAATTTTCTTTCTTCAGTACATATCTGTTCATAATATTTTCTTTTCAACTGTTGAACATAATGCACATAAGCACAGTAAGCCAAACGTGGGATAAAATGCAACATGACTTGCCCACCTTTTCAACGTCTATGTCCGGAAATATTTTTCACCTCTCGCCTTTTCTTACTTTACGCACACATCCCAGGTTTTTACCCATTTGTCTCAGGAGCGGAAATGACAAATTACCCATGTTTCGAACGAAAAACTTATCCAGTTTCTCCGTAAGTTCCCCTGTTTATATCCACTTCGCCCTGTCCTGTTAACTACCGAACAGAATTTTCCTACAGTGACAAGTGTAATGACTATTGTTTTCAGATTCTATTATCTCTACAACTCCATAGTCCACTGATATAAAACAAGGCTGTTGCAGTGTGGGAATCTGTCTGTCTGTCTGTTTTCGACATAGAACTTTGCACAAATGTGCGGAAGTTCAAGTCGCCACATTCCGTGTAGCACGCGAAGCAAGAGAAGAAAGTACAAGAAAAGCATAATAGAAACAGTGAGCAGAGGTGTGAGACAAAGGAGTAATAAAGAAATACAAAACAGTTTCATTGAAGATCATAAGTCACAAGGAGTGGATGCATCTGCGCCACTGAGAACGATTTTGAGCCATGTCACCAATTGTTTCCAACCATAGATTTTTACCGTCCCGAGGACCCCAGCCTGGAAGTCTACACCTTCCTACGTGGCTTAGACCAACTGTTGTGGATTTCATTGACTGATGCCAAGTTTTTGTTTGACCGCCGCTAGCTTTTTTCCAGCCTGACCCTATATCCGCTAACATAGCTCGTCGAGGGAGGCGATGGCTTGGCATACGTAACACATGTCCTAACCATCTCAGTCTTTGTAGCTTCACGACTTCGTCGATTGATTTCCCCTGTTTACCTAGAACTCTACGCCTAACCTCCATGTTGCTCACCTTATTATGCCACTTTACACGGGAAATAGAACGCAGGCACCTATGATCAAAGACAGCTAGTCTTTTCATGTCTTCCACTCTCAGTGGCCAGGTCTCACAACCATAAAGGAGGACGGAGCGGACTGATGAGCAGTACACCCGCCCTTTGGTCGATAGTCGAACATCTCGTCTACGCCAGAGTCGGCGTAAACTAACAAATGCGAAACGAGCCCCTTGTATTCGTGCTGAGATTTCGTCAGAGATCAGCCCGTTGGGGCTGATGGTACTTCCCAAATAAGTGAAGCGGTCAACGTGCTCTACCACTTCACTTCCTATTTTTAAACTAGGCGTCGATGTAGTCCAGTCCTGTAACATCATCTTGCATTTGGCGGGAGCGAATCGCATGCCAAACATTCGTAGATTGCGGCTCAAGGTGTTTAGAAGACTCTGCATTTCGTCAGCGTCTTCGCCTAGAAGGACTATATCGTCTGCATATTCCAAGTCAACGAGATTATTCCCCGGTAGCAAGTCAATCCCTGAGTCGCTGAAGTCACCTAGGGTTAAGTCCATTAACACATCTATGATGAAGTTGAATAGAAAAGGAGATAATGGGCATCCTTGACGGACACCACTGGTCGTCATCAGTTCAGATGACAGCTCGCCGTAAGCCCTCACCTGGCTGTATGAGTACGAGTAGAGTGCCTTAATCAGTGCAATATATTTTCTTGGAATTCCCTTTACAGCCAAGCATCTCCAGAGAACTTCCCGATCGACAGAGTCGAATGCTGCCTTTAGGTCAAGAAATATAATGACTGTTGGACGCCGGTAGGAATGCCTATGTTCTAGAATCTGTCGGAGGGTGAAGATATGATCAATACACCCTCTTCCTGGTCTAAAGCCTGCCTGGCTCTCTCGTGTTTGTGCTTCCCGAGCACCACTCAGTCTACGCATGATTATTGAGCCTAAGACTTTAGATACTATATTAGTCAAGCTAATCCCTCTGTGATTATCACAGGAAGACTTGTCTCCCTTCTTGTATATGGGGATAATCAGTGACTTACACCAACCCGATGGGACTTCTTCTGATTCCCAGACGCTGCCTAGTACCTCAGTTAATCCGGACAGTAAGCTGTCTCCACCGTACTTAAATACCTCTGGAGTCATTCCATCAGGTCCCGCTGCTTTGCCTAGTTTCAGATTGGTGACAGCTTTAGTAACCTCAGTTAGTGACGGAGGACCTGTGTCTATATCCCATTCAGGGAGGTGTTGGATGCTCGGAAGGTTGAGCGTGGCTGTGGGCAAATTAAACTGCTCCTCATAATGCTCTTTCCAACGATCCAGTCGTCTATCCTGTGAGCTAATTATAGTGCCATTTTTTTCCGAGATTGTCTCACTGATGATTTGTCTTCTCCCACCCGTTTCCCTGATGAGTCCAAAGAGTTGCCTGGTGTTGCCTATCCTCGAAGCTTTCTCCATCTCTTTGGCTTTTGTCGCCCACCACTGTTCACGGTCCTTGCGGAGACTTTTCGTAAGTTTCCTCTTGTGCAGCTTTCGCTCCTCATTGAATTCGGAGCTCGCCGGAATAAGTCTTCTAGCATCTATCAGTTCGGATGAGGCGGTGGAGATCCAGTGGTTTTTACTCACCTTTGGGTTTACCTTATTCACAGCTTTTACAGCTGTATCTATGGCTGCCTGGATATTTTTCCAAGCTTCTTCAGGGTGAGCACAGCTGTCGAACACAGATATGTGTTTAGCTAGTTCTTCCTGAAATACGGATTTAGTTTCCTGATCGAGCTGGGGACGTGATGGTTTTACCGCCAGCTGTTTCCTACGTCCGTTCAGTCGTAAGCACACCCGAGCGCGGACCAGTGCATGGTCGGTATCTACGCACGTGTTCCAGAAGGAGCGACAATCTCCTACCGACCCACGCCAACGATAGCTTATTGCTATGTGGTCTATTTGTGTCCAGCGTTGGTTTGATGAAGGGGGTCTCCAAGTCAAACAGTGTCTCTCCTTGTGTTTAAAGTTAGTGCTTACAAGAAACAAATGATTATCAGAGCAGAACTGTAGGAGACGGTCACCGTTGTCGGTTCGCTGGCACGGAGCTCCATAGGTGCCACCGACATCCTTCTCAGATTGACACAATTTCCCTACTTGAGCGTTAAAGTCACCAGCTAGAACGACTATGTCTGAGCGTTTAGCCTTTCCACCAAACTAGACAGCTTTTGGTAGAACTCATCCTTCGTTTCATCTGAACTGCAGTCAGTGGGGGCGTAGGCGGAGATTACGAAAAGGCATCGGCGAGTAGTGCAGTCCTTCCTCCTTCTTACTGATCCGTTCAGGCGGACAGCACACATTCGGCTATCTACCGGGATCCAGTCAAGCAATGTCTTTTCTGCCCTAGTACTCAAAGCTATCCCTACGCCAGCTAATCCTCGTGAACTAGCTGTGGCATCTCCTGACACCCTCAAGGTGAATTTTGCAGATTCAACCTGTTGGCCAGGTGGGGTTAGGTGAATAACCACACTTGGGTCTTGTATGCGTGTTTCTGAAACACAGCATACATCAATGGCTCGTGATGCCAGGGTCTTGGCTAGTGATGCTTGTTGTCCTATTTGGCAAAGTGTCCTAACATTAAGAGCTCCTATATGAAATTGGTGGCGCGGCTTTAAGAGGCTGTCGGTGGTGGTTTTTTGGCTTCCATCGTTTTTAGTGGACGCAGAGTGGAGAGGAAGTGGAGAGCTATCAAGTCGAGGAGTTGCATCAGTGGAAGGAAGGCAAGATGATAGAGATGAAGATGAAGACAAAGATGAGTGAGTAATAGAGAGGTTTCGTGTGCATTTCGGATTGTGAGGGCGATTGTTACTTCCCGGCTGCCCACACCGTGGAAGTTGGTTGCGTGACCGCAGAGCCCAGGGGACAACTGCTTGAGGCCGGTCACACGCGGCCTGTTTTTGTTCGTTCTTTTTTGTTTGGTGTGTCTCAGTAGCAGATTTATCACTCCCGCCCTGTGACACGGCAGCAGGAAGCGCGGTCGTTGTTAATCCGGGCCACGGCCGATCCGGCATGAAATTTTGTAATTTTGTATTGGACATGATGTTGGATTGGGTAGCTGCTTTTTGTTTAACCGCTATCCAAACAACCTGCCTGGCATGGTAGAACCTCAAGAGACATAAGTCTCAGCCAGTATAGCTTGATTAGGTCATTGCGGTGTTCAAGCCCGACCACCACGTCAAGGTAGCAGCTTTCGGTCGGGTAGTGGGGGAATAATATTTAGACAGTCAAATACAGCTTTCATAAAAATAGTAACAGGTTGGAAACGTTTGCAAAATTGATTTTATACATTATTTTGGGGATAGTGATTGGCTGCGACCAGGTTGACTGACGTTGCAAGACACCTGTAGTAAAGGAATGGAGGGGAAATCTGAAATAACAACGAAGTAATTGAAAAAGTTAGACATTTGTTTATTAAAACTACCTCTTGTGATAATTATTCTCCCTTTTTCCGAGGTCGTTGATCATGACACCAGCTTTTGGTGGCTTTGACTACTACTTCGAGTGTTTTCTCCTTAGTGTTCCCCAGTTCCAGCTGTTTACGAATGATGACGTCTGATGATGTTGTTGGTATACAATGCTGCGCTTATTAAAAGTGTTCATACCAATGATAAGTTGGAAAAATGTGTAATCACGAACACCAATCTTATCTGCAGTCCTCTTTTAAGTCATCAATCTTGCGAAACTTTTGTCAGGGACTGCACTCAGCAAACGACGGGTAGATGTTTTTGCGTCATTTTGCACTTTGAATGAAAGTCGACTCATCGAAAGCGTAGTTATTGAGGAAACTGGATTAAAATTTCTTACTACCTGTTGAAAATGGAGACGATCATCTCTGTTCTCTTTACCTTTTGGGCCCGGCTGAATGTGGCAACTTGAACCGCTCCAGTTCCGTGTAGACCTCTGTGTTGAGACTCAGTCAGCCAGACTTTGATAGAAAATTTTGGTAATATAGTTGGATTTATTTATTTGATTTTCTCTTGTGATACGATGATGGATGCAATGCAGTGCTCTCAAATGTGTACCGAAAAATCTGCATGACCAGTAACATTGCTTTTTGATAAAATCACACACTTTGTTGTGTGAGAGCTCCTTGGCCGACTTTGGGGCCTCTTCCTTTGTCCTAGTATTCTACGACACATTCAGTACTGTCACATTTCTGTCTTTAAGTAGATTTATGGCTTTTATAGATGGTCATGTCGGGAATAACCAATCCAGGTGGCCGGTGCTGTATTTTCTGTTACTAATTTACGAATATGACTTAAGCTCTCGATATCTCTCGTCTTTTTTGAGAATGTGCTCGCATATGGATCATCACATCAAGTCACTTTGACATTATTGCGTCAGAATAATGATTAACCTCAGAAATTATGTTGAATATTTTTGTTCACTATTACTCAGACTTAGAATGAAGAGTAAGAAAAGAGAATGCAATAGAAAACGTAAAGCGAAACCACTTTCTTGGGAAGAACAACTAAGCAGGTACGTTGTGTGTACTAATTGCTAATTTTTCCAATTTCAGGCAGATTCAGTTTGTGGATGTCCACCCAGAGGCTAATGAAACTTCTCTTGCAGTTGATGAAGAGTCAGTTGATGTTACGATTATAAGAACTAATTCGTCACATGTTTCAAAACATGGTGGCCTTCGAAAACCATTCGTATCAAAACGTTTTGAGGCAGAGTAAGCTCTCTTTCTGTCACTTTATGCTCTTGGATATTCGCTTAAGTTGAAAGATGATATGAACTCATGGTCGGTTCCTTATAGCCACTTGAACCAGGGTAACCAAAGAAATAAAATTGTAAAATTTATTTTGAACTTTCGGTGTTTCATCGGCAGTGAGGTATCATATATATATATATATATATATATATATATATATATATATATATATATTATTATTATTATTATTATTATTATTATTACGGTGACTGCATGTAAAGACTGGTGGCTTCACACTACAATATGTATTATTACTAAAATAAAGGCAGGTAGCAAAACTTTGTGGTACTAAATTTCTGGACTGATTTAAAAGTACCCTTGTCAAAGGTGGTGTCATTCAGGTGGAATTATTTCTATCATCTGGTTCAGACATCTTGTTAAAAGTTGGTGTAAATTCTTTTTTTCACTCGTCTGCTGCTCGCATCTGATGGGGCCATTACTCCTTTTGAATTTCGGTGATGTTTAATTCACCAGAAGAATAACTATAATTATATTGTGTTCTCAGTTAACCTACCATCGAAAACCAATTAAATACGGTTATAAGCGTTCGCTATGCTTGATTCTGTCATACATTATCCTCATTCAAGATGATTGTATGGTTTATACCTAAAGTATGGTGGCGCAGGCCTTGTTGATGCACCAAAGTTGCGAAGAGAATTGCATAAAACAAGGGTAGCATCAACAAAACCAAAAGTAGTGTATCATTGTATAAGCCTAACTTTACGCATTTAAAAGCAGTAAAATTGGAGGAAAATCAAGACAAAAGAAGTTGTGTAACTGTGATACTAGGGAACAAATTAAAATGAAAAGTTGGCAAAATGGAGGGGAGTACAAGAGTATTTTATTCTAGCCTTGGACTTCACTCCAGTGAATCTTATTTATGCTATATGATACATAGTCTCGGATAATACTTAATGGCTGAATGTACTTTTTGTTTCAGGTCTGTAATAGATTACAATCAGTTGTGGGTTTCTGGTGAAGAACTTCTATCTCACAGCAGCATACGTAAACACCGTGAAGCCGCTCATAATTGTGAAGCAGTCATATGAGTTCCCATTGTATGAGAACTAATTCTCATTGTATTCAACTATTTCACGAGTTACATGGATTCTCTCTCTCACTGTCTATATATATATATATATATATATATATATATATATATATATATATATATTTACAGGCTGTTTTGAGGTATATTTCCTTCATATATTTTCTTTGTCCCAATGATCGCCGTAAACATTTTGTAATAATAATAATACCACAGTGTACAAATTCTATTCTTAAATAAATGCCAAAAAGACTGATTACTGAAGAAAGAACATTCTTTTCGATAACTTTTCCATCAGGTTCTACAGTTATATATCCATAATAATGAAAGAATTAAGATTATTAACAAAATTAATGTTTCAATAACATCAATAGATTAGACTCCATGATATTAGATGATCGAATGCATTTGGCAGGAAGCCTTGGACCTAGGTTTCATGCTAGATGGCAGTCACCAGTCAACACCGTGTCACCCAGTGCTGCAGTTATACACGTTACAACTGGGCTATTCTGGTCTCGTGATAAACCTCCTGAAGGATCGTATCGGATACTTTGATTGGACATTAGTAACAAGTGTGATGTGTCTAGTCGTCTCTTTGGTGCAGAATGAATCCTAAACTCAGTTATTTTCTAATTGAAGATAAAATATAAATATGCTCAAACAAATGGTATTAAGCAAAAGTTTTGTGTAATAATAAGGAATGTAAGACTGGGATACTGTTTTATATATATATATATATATATATATATATATATATATATATATATATATATATATACATATAGTTTTATGAGATAACATCGCGAAAATCCTGATTTCCGTAAGCTCTAGATTTTAGTTAAGTAATTTTGTATTGGTTCAATTCCATTTGTAAATAATAATCAAGAGATTCACAAATATGAACAAAAGGGACAATATAGGGTTTGAAATCCCAAATATGTCATCGAACAGTATCGGAAGTGGTTCACAATCTACAAATACTTTACTACGCTTATCGAAACACAGACAAAGGTGTACAGCTGTGTTGATAAAAAAAAAACATATTTGGCATAAACAAAGAGTGGTTTAATCATCATTTTGTTTAATGAAGGTGGAATTCCAAAGGTAAATTACAAGAATATTTTGTAACAGAATTATTTATTGGTAAATCGATGTACAATTTTAGGTGAAATACATCTAATATTTATCAAAATCAAACTTTTTCACGTCTCCCGTATTGCGCTTCCTTTCATGTTTTCTAATTTGCTTCGCAAGAATCGCTCATGACAAATGCCTCATTTCGCCTACTCTATGTGTATCTATCAATTTGAATGCTCGTGTGGTTCTAGGTACATTGGGCGTACAATCAGACAGGTTCATCATAGTATTTCCAAACATCATCCTGCGTCGTTAAGCAAGGAACGAACTAGATCTATTCGTAGCTCTATGTTAGCATATCTTGTAGACAGTGAGCATATAAAGTCGATGTTAATAAAGCACTTAAAGTAATTTCTCACACTCTGACTAATATCAACTTTGCTTTACGAGGTCGTCTTCTACATACACTTGAAGTCATCAGAATTCACCTTAAGCAGCTAAAACTGTGTTTTCAGACGAAATTCGTGCAGCCAATCCCCTCACCTTGACCGGTGGTACATGAATGCTAGAAAGTGATAATTTCGTCCCTTCCCTCACTTCCAAGCCTTTTACAAGTTAGCATTGTCCAGATTACTTTTTCTGACTACATCTTTAACTGTTTACCATGTAATCAACTTGAACACTCATTTATGGCTCCTAATATTTCCGAAATTATTCCATCCGCTTATTGTAATCATTTATACCCTTTAATTTTTGTATTAATTTTCTTGGTTAATCATCACCCAACCCTCTTCCCCGACATGTTGATACTGTTCGATTATTTCTAACAAACGTATCGTCACTAGTTCGGTAAACTTTCTAAATTGTATTAAAAATGCTATATATGTAAGAGTAGAGCCACAGTGAAGATCTGGTTGAAAAGTAAATATTTCATCACTCAATCCTTTTGTCTGCTAAATGTCAGTTAACTGTCGCTATCTATCTATCACAATGCACAAAAATCGTACAATTTAATTTCCAGTTATATTTTAGCTAATTTTGATTGAGCCCTGAGCGGTAAAGTAATGCACACAATGAGGGTGTAAGTCACTTCATGGATCCGTTTTTGCATCAAATGCACGCAGAAGGAGAAGAAGCGGGAATGAAGTCAACAATTCATTCAGAGTTTGTTTTACAGTTGATTCTATGTGTCTCTGCATATCTCGTTGAATGACCCTGTTAACAACACTAATCATTCAACAAAACAATGATATTCAGTGATTCTGTCTCGTGTGCTACTGTGCGTCGGTGGCCAGTGGTTAGGACTCTCGCCAACCATGCACATGGTCCGGGGTTCGAGCCCACGCCGACGCACACCTGATATCTATGGTCGGCCTGAGAAATTTGGGCTACCGATATCCACGCTGAAAATTCCATACTTGTACCAAAAATACAGTGTGAAATCAAGCAGTAATCAAAAATAAAAAAATAAATAAAAATATGTAGTATGTGGCATACAGACATAAATATGTATACCATCTGTGAGAATATCAAACAGCGGATAGTTTGATTTAGTGGTAAACAGAATAAATGGACGATTCTTGTGAAACAATTTAGAAAACATGAAAGGAAGCGCAATACAACACAATACTATATATATATATATATATATATATATATATATATATAAGATGTATTTCGCATAAAAATGTACGTCAATTTACCAATAATTGATTCGAATAGACACGTTTTACTTCAACGAGCCTAGCTGTAAACTTCCATAGTTCATTGAGTTCTTTCAACACCACGGGATACTCTCAGGTTTTCAATAATTTAAATATTCCCATAACTATAATTATAGAAAGTGACTTAAGCAAATGCTTATTTTCGATAAATTCTCATCAGGCTTTACATTTGCATTATGAAATACTAGTCGAATTAATGTATTTTATAAGATAAAGAATAACAATCACTATGATCATACTACTACTAATAATAACAATAACAAGGATACATTCATTTAAGAGTTTATATAATCTAGGCAACGATGAGTGCATAAGTAAAATGAACATATTAATACCATCACTACTTCATAATGTGGGAGAAAGCTCACTTATTATTTCAAGAAATGATTCATCTGAAACAGAACTGACATCCACTACTAATGAACGGGATTTAATCGAAATGTTGAGAACTATCTGCCGTGATAAGTTACGTGAAATTCTACCAGCAGTTTTACAGCATGCTTCTCACCTGTCCAGAAACGTCAACACGTAGTCTGGTTGTCGACTGCAGGGAAGTAAACCTCCTTCAATTATGTAAATAACAATTTAACTTATTTTGATTTTCACTTATATATTTTAAAAGAGTCATGATTATTTCTGAGCTATAACATTTCACAAATACCGATAAAAAATTTCTAGATATCATTTCTGTTTTGTGAGCTAAAGATAGAGTGTTATTGCTTCACCCATGATTGTGATGCGTTCTAGGCGTTGGGAGCGAAATACATGAGATATTTAAGTTTTATTCTGTCGTAAGTGTAATTAATTTTCTTCTCAAGTGAGTGGAAAATTTACTGATCTGTTAGACAACTAAATTAAGTGGTCCACAGCTTCTTTCTCGTTACTGTCACCGTTTCACGGATTTAGAGTTAGAATCCAAACAATGGAATTCACATTAGATATTCCGTTGGTATGATTGGCAGTATAATTCGTGCTGTCATGAAATAAAAAGGATTCGCTTGACACAGCTAATACGAAATGACTAGGTTAGTGTGAAATTTGATTTCATGAAGTATCACAATGTTATAAGGTGATGTTTACTGATGACGTTTCGAGCACAATTTATTGCTCATAATCATACCAAGGTAATCATACGACCTCCTAACTTCATTTATATAGTTCCATTGTTTTTCACTTGATTTGATTGATAGTAGTATTTTCCGTATTTCGGGTATGAGTGATGAATCATTCCTATTGCATGTGTTGGGTGTACACTCAATGAACAAGGATTCCGTAATCAACCTCTCTCTCTCCACCTACCTAGATTACGTTTTAGAATTTTAACCCTCTCCCACCCTATTGTGTGGTTGTGTGTTAATGTATGCATTGAAATTGCTGAGCATTTTTCTAAATTACTTATCTTCTCGGGTGGGGTCAACCATTCTTACCTTAGCTAAATTCTTATGCTCTGATAATCTGACTACCCCTGACCTACTAGTTTGACCTATGTAGTTGACATAACAATCATTGCAGGGTATTTTGTAAACTATATTTTTTTGTCTAATTGGGTCCTTTAACCTACAGAGCTTGTCCCTAAGTAAGTTCGTAGGTTTAAATGCCACCCTAAATCCTACTTTAGAGGTTGATGGAATTCTATTACGCAGCCTCTAACTTATTAGTTCTCGCGTACCAACAACAAAGCAAAAGCCAATATTTAATCGTCCAAACTAAGTGATATATTTCGGGACCAAAACAAGCCTTCAGACGAATGCTTAGCTAGCTAGTGATCGTGCACGTGACACGACGGGGTACCAAATGGCGGGGATGCTTGACCGGAAACCTTCAGCTAAACAAGTCGACTTAAACAGTGGTGGTCAGCGTCTAATAGTGAGTGATTGCTGTGGTCAATAATTTTGGGGAATTATTTACCGCTACAGACACGTCATAGCTGTTTGATAACATATGTAACCAGCAACGAATTTATTAGCCCACCTCTTCTTCCAAGATCTCTACAGTTGTATTTAGTATTCCTCAAACATTTTCAGAATTTTTTGCATTTAATTTTCTGATACGCCCGGTAAGCCTACAGAATTTATATCCACTGTATCCTGCTGTCTTGTTTTAACTTTGAAAGCATATCTTCAGTTTTAAGCTGTTTTCGTCTCTAAATTGCCAGGATTGGGATCCAGACTTAAAAAAGTATAACAGCGACATTTTTCGGTTCCTGATATTTGTCAAAGAAAGCTAGGAAACATATGTCTATTACAATGTATATGTTTTGAAATATTAACATTGTTAGTCAAACTACAAGCGAATTTT